ACTTCTGCGTCAGCACCCAGATGCTGTGCTTTGCGTGCCGGCCGGAGAAGGGGAGGTACGATAGCATGTCTCTCTTTTTTGTTATCTCTCGATTAGCGCTGCAGTCGTCCAGTATGAACAGCGTCGACTCCCCTTTTAATTTTCCGTGATAAGCCTTCAACCAGTCCTGCAGACGTGTTCCCGGGTCGACTCTGTGTACGTCCGGGTCCATCATCACCCAAGGTCTTTCCGTGTATGTTCTATTCATGTGCAGAGTAGGGCACATGATAACGATGTTATCAAACACATCCTGGTAGTACCCCTCCAGCATATCCAGCATGAAAATGGTCTTCCCACAGCCAGTCTGCCCGCACACTATGGCGCAGTGCGGGTCGCGTGGTAGATCAATAGATGGCTTGCCGCCAGGCAAATCAATAGATGGCTCGCACGAATCTCCCATTCTCCATATTAAGTTGCGCGTCCATAATCACGTACAGATATAATTTCAACTTGCCCGCGGGTTGAGCCTTCTTGGTAATCTGGATTGTTATCCCCTCGCTGCCGTTGTCGATGCAGCGACCGCTGCCGTGCAATTGATCATCGTCCGTGGATCGCATGTGCAACCATAGTGCATACTTGGTGGTCAGGTATTTACCGATCTGCACGGAGGATAGGTCCAGGTCCTTGATGACGTGTTGGTGCCGGGCCGGTAGTTTCGTTATCTCGTCCCACTGCTGGCGTGCCCTCAAACCGGTGCTGAACAGCTGGTTGGGCACGCCCTCGATGGTCACTTCCACCTTTTCAATTGCGGGTTGAAAAACTTCTCGCTGTCCCTTCGGAACGGCTCATAATCCTCCACAGGGACGATCAGGATGCCTTTCATCGATCGCGCCGGCACGTTTAGGTTGATGTTCCACAGCGTGTCGCTCTTATCCTGTATGATCGCTCTATGCATCAGTATGCGGTCGTACAGGATGGCCACCTTCCCCGAGTACTGGTTTCAAACCTGCCTGACCAGCTCTGGGCTAGTGACCATGTCGAACTCCAGAGAGATGTTGTCGATGGCGTAACTAGCCTCATCACCGTTCGGCGTACGCACGACTTTGCTGTAGTCGTTAAACGTGAGCTCGTATTCAAGCCTATCACCCAGCGCGGCCTGGTAATTCGCGCGTGGCCCGTGAGCAACTCGAAGTCGAGCGGCACGCAGAACCTGTTCCCGACGCTTGGGTGATGGCCTTTTCACCCTCTGAGATCTTGTCTAGCTGGTCTTGCGTGAAGCCGTACCCCACGCGCAACCAAGTCGATTTGCTGATACCTTGGTACATGTCATTGACGCGTTCTCCCTCGCTTTTCCAGAGGTCCCCGTAGCAGTGAAACACGTCGCTGTCGTCGATGCTCAGCACCTCGTTGCCGCTGATCTTGATGGTGGTTTTCTTGATGATGCCCCGACCTACGTTCCACACGAGCTCGCGTTTGTCGTTGTCGGAGGTCAACCTGAGGTTGAACGTCAGTCGAACCGTGCCTGGTACGATGAGGTCATTCTCACCCAGGTTTGGGAATCTAACCAGCAGCGTTTGGTTCTGGTCTATCTTGCTGGGATTGTTGGTGATGGTCACCGACTGGCGCACGTCTCTGACGCCTAGAGGCTCTCTTGATCTTCGGAAAGGATCTAGTTTCCTACCATACATTGTTATATAGATAAATTATAAAAGTTTAATATAAATAATGGCTGAAGGCGGCCATGAGGACATCTTGATGGACGATTTTGGCGCTGGTGCGCTCGATGATGGGGATTACGATGACACCTCATTCATGGGCGACACCGTTAGCAGTGAACTTTTAAAATCAACCGTCGACGATCATTACAACGCGTGGAAGTCAGATAGAAACTACGTCGATCCATTGGGGCTAGGCTATTCCAAGTTTACCATCGATAAGAAGGGCACACTGCGATTGAAAGCTCATCCGGAGATCGATCTCGTGAATAAGCGCAAGAGAAAACCGCTTGCCTTGTCTACGCTAGTCAGTTGTTATGGGGGGCAACTGATCCGTGATGAACTAGGCTTCATAGATTACGGGGGAGCACGGCCTAAGCTTCCCCCAAGATCTGCAGAACATCAGGGCCGAAACTCAGCGGTAAAGGTGATATGTCTAAAGAAACATCAGACAGTATCGAAAAAATATTGGCCACGTACCATGACAAACCCTTACCGGGTTTCGAATTTCCTGTTCGAGAACTGCGAGGCCTAGACGAAGCCTTGAAACTTGTAAGCGGAGAACTCGTGAACAACATGGGGAAACTGAACGAAATCGATGAGCACATTGCTCGGGAGAAAATAAAACTCACCAAAACGGAAGACGAGTCTCTGAAAACCATCATCGAAAAACGATTGCGCAACTTGCAAGATGAGAGACGGACTCGGTTGGAATCCGCTTCCTCGAACCGGGAACAGCTTCGATCCAAGATCAGCCGCGTGCTGGAAACCATCTATCGAGTCCTGAATGAAGACACCACGTTGGCCAACAGGATCCGAATCCTCTTCCGAGAGCAAGGAATTACTGTCACCAGCATTCTTACTGCATTGGGCTTCATCATATCAACCCTGGTCATGTCGCTGACAGGGGGTAACACCCACACCCCAAGTGGTGGCACACCCACTGGTGACGTCAGACACTGGATAAAAAAACATCTGAAGCCTATACCGAGATCCAATCGCGAAGCCTATACCGAGATCCGATCGGGTCGTTTGTCCCTTCGGGAAGTGAAGAGGAAGTACCACATATCGCAAGCCCGATACACACGAATCCGAGGTGGTATAGACAAGCCCCAGACGACGACAACTCCCTGCGATGTCTGAAAGGACCAATAAAACCTATTCTCGCCCAAGGTCTGGAAGCAGCAACTCGACTTCTCTATCGTCTATCTCTTTCGATATTGGCGAGCGGCAGATTTTGCCGAGCGTGCACAGAAATGGTTCATGCACCAACCATAGGCATTCTATGCCAACGGTGGCCAGAATCGTTTCTCGTATCTTGTAGCCATAGACTGGAATCATTTCCCCAGTCGGGGAATCAAGTAGCAGCAACAGCCGGTTCTTCCCTTCGTATCTTGCTACAGCAAACATTTTGCATGTGTAGACTCCTTCTGGGACGTCCGCGGCTTTTCGGTGTTCGCTGCACGGAGGGGGTGCCACTTCCATATCCTTGGACCCGCCATAGTTGGGCAATAGTGTATGCCTAATATTGCTCCTTCCCTGTGGTACCTCTGCTTTCCCAGACAGCTGCCGGAAGATACAAGACTCTTTCTCCTTGCACGGACAATGGTCCACCAATTTGCTGGCGAGGGGTGCGTACCGTATGCTCCAGAAAGCGCAGGCGTTGTCGTACAGGTTCTCTACATTCGCGAAACAGCTGTCGACCACGATCTCTTCTGGAACCTCGAGTGGGAGTCGCTCCTGGGGTGTGTAGTCAATCGCTTTCTTTTCCCAGAGAACGCATTTCTTGCTGTCGGCACAGTGGTCGATGGCACCACACTTGCACATAGAGTTGTCGGGGCCGAAGAGAGCAGGCAATTCCGATAGAGTGGCGAGGCAGTCGGTGCATCGGTTGTGTCTGTCCTTGGGCCTCGGATAGCAGTCGTTGGCGAGAATGATTCGGAGTTTGCCCGCCGAGGGTCGAAATTGGTGGGGTGGGTAGATGAAGACGAAATTGACTATTTTGCCGGCTTCTACTAGTGGGCGAAAACACAGCAAACAGAGTTCGAGAAACTGGTGGGGTATCTGGTAGTGCTCGTAGAAGGTGTGTCCCCGATTGCTCCAGGATTTGTTTCTCTCGGCCGAAAAGCAACATGGGGCGACACTTCTTCAGCAGACCCTCGAAGACTTCGGCCATGTCGTCGTCTGGGGCTTGTCTATACCACCTCGGATTCGCGTGTATTGGGCTTGCGATATGTGGTACTTCCTCTTCGCTTCCCGAAGGGACAAACGACCCGATCGGATCTCGGTATAGGCTTCGCTCGAGAACTTGGTTCCTGGCATGTTTCTATATCCATGCACCCATATAGCTCTAATTGGGAGTGCACTGCGTTGGGAGCCGCCGAAAGTGGTCTTGTCGAAGTTTTTGGCCCCTGTCACAATGAGGTCGTGCGATATCGTTCATGCTTATGAAGTCTGGTCACGATTCATCACTGAAAAGTACTGTAACCTTGTTCTTGGTAAGGCCACTGGCGTCTCGCCGGTTATTTCAGAGTGTGGTGGCAGTCACGAAGTGGTGACCGCCCAGCTGACACCAAAGGTGTTTACAACACGATGTTGAATTGACCTAGTTTCAAGCAGCATATGCAGGTGCTTAATTCTTTGGTTGTCAAACGAAGTGCAATCAGTTAATAGTTGCAACCCACAGTGGCAAATGTTGTGACAGGTAGACAGTGAGTATTGAAAGGTCAAACAAGCTGGATACTAATTTAAAAAAATGACAATCAAAAGAAACTATACCAAGGCAATTTACCAACGAAATGACACAAATTAAATAGCTAAATTTAAACTAAATCAATCCAAAAGAAATCGTCCAAACACAACAATGCTCTATGCAGAAAGTGATACACGTCCATGTCACATGTAAAACAGATGTCGCTTTCGATGCCGCAGCCACACGTCAAGAAATATAAATGGTAGGGAAGGCCTGTGTAATACCAAACCAATACAGAACTACCACGAGCCACCCATACAGAGCCACCCATGCACTAGAACTTTTGAACTTTTGAGCTACATTCAGGCCCTCCAAGAGGAATGACGGAGTATGCCAGGTGACATTTTCTGTGAGCCGCTAAACATTTCTTTTGACCGTCAGATAAGATGATTGTATTCTACAGAAAACTGTCCACTGCTTGATTGGATCTTCAAATTCTGACGGGATGGAGGTGTTATCCATACAAGTGTATATTTCCTTAATTGCCTCACGCAGGTATGAATGGGCAGAAATGAAATGCAAAGATTTTGAATATTTCACAAAGTTCTACTCACAGTGATGGGGCTCTTCTTCATCGCATGTGTCTGAGTTGGATATTGAAATCTTCCGTTCTGAAACTGAACAAGATGTAATTGCAACGCATGCTGTCTTAAGTGATGTCAGGAAGCTGCAGTATTAGTAGACTGGGATTACGTGTGGAATGAGTGAGGTAAAATTTTAAGTATTTCAGCTATATCGTCACTAAAACAAGTTTTAATTTCACAATAAGTAAAGGTAAATTATAAAAACCTGACAGCGAAGGAGAAAAAATTAACTAGAATAGCACAGTTATAATTTTAAAACTACAGCTGAAGGTAGATCACCATACCAGGGACCATGGGCACTTACAGTACATTTGCTTCCTTCATGGATCCTAGCTGGATTTACTCTATCCCTTCAGCTATTAGCAATGTTAGACAATCTAGCCATAAATTTAAACGACATATATACTGCGCTTAAAAAGTTAGTAAGTTTAAATTCAAATTATTAAATCATAGTAAGTTTAAATTCAAATTATTAAATGATAATTAACATTATAAAAAAGATCCTTAACTGTTTTGACATGTAAATATATATCCCTTCTGATGGAAAAATCAATACAGTCAAGCAGGACATGCTTGACCGTGATACGTGTAGAATGAAAACATTCTTACAATGAAACATTTCAGAGGAGTGAGTGAGCGAGTTTAGTTTTACTCCGCACTCAGCAATATTCCAGCTATATGGCGGCGGGAGTGAGTGAGTATGGTTTTACGCCGCTTGTAGCAATATTCCAGCAATATCACGACGGGGAAAACCAGAATCGGGCTTCACACATTGTACCCATGTGAGGAATAGAACCCGGGTCTTCGGCGTGACGAGCGAACGCTTTAACTCCACCGCCCCCATTTAAGAGGAGGTTTCAGCACCACATCAAGCTGGTGGTCAAACAGATACCACCTGCCAAGTAACAAACATTACTCAGAATACAAGTTCAAGGAACAGTGGTCGGGGCCCTTGAAGCTTTGATCTGCTATTCCCACTTACCCGTGGCTTCTAGTTGTTCTGGAGGATGTCTTGTTGGTGACGTAGATAAAGGTGGCATCGATGAAGTAGGGGTTTCCGTATGACTGGAACAGTAACAAAACAGAATCAACTGAGATTATAATGTGTGGTGTATATTTTTAAACGTGAAACACGTGGAAACCCACTCGGCATGCACATTTTCATAAGAGCTAAAAAGAAAACGTTGCGCGAGAGATTGCGTTTGCTTGGCACTGACCGAATCTACGACTGTAACACCATACATATATGTATAGAAATGAAAACAAACGTATCGCAACACCCATCACTTTCAACCCACATAAGAGTCATTTACATTCATATCATAATTATGTTTGTTTTATGAGCATTGACGTTTTGGGTGCTGCTTGAATTGATTTTAGATATGCACGTGCTGCATGGACACGTGTACCCGTCATTAAGCAAAATTCAATTTTCCGTAAACTGTTCCTAAAGTTAAATAACTTGACAAATCAGATTGATTTCGTTGTTGATGTTGATAAGCAAATGTGGGGTCTCCTTAAGTGACAAGGTGGCTCGTGAAATGCCGGAATGCCGTTGAGGGTCACTGGCAAAGGAGACGTTGGTTGTCATTCACTATAAACCGATTGGCCATAAAAAAACCACAACAAAAAATGTCGTTTAGGAGCGTCGGCGTTAAAGTCGACCGTGAGCGACAGTTCCTAGGGAGGGTACAGCCCTTCTCAGAGAGGTAGAGGGAGAGAGACGTATGTAGGGTGGGTGTGTGAGCGTGCACGGCGACGTCGTGATTATTCCCAGAGCAGAAGCAGCTTGCTTAGCTTGGTGTGAAGTTCTATGTCAGTGGAATTCGAGGTCGAGGGGAAGGTCGATTTCTTTTGTTCATGACTGATGGACGAGCTTTCATCGTTTGCCGTGCTCATTCACAGTGCGTGTGTGGAAGGGGGAGGGCTTTCAATTGCAATTGACTGGAAACCTGACCTTGTAACTGGCGATCAGTAAAAAATGTATTGAAAGAAAGCGTACATCGCTGATATCCAGTGTATGAAATAAGCCCAAACCCCAGCCAGACATCTGGGCTGGTAACTTCAGAATGTTACCTTATTTCATACACTGTGATATCCCAGACAGGGTTTTTGTACCACAACTAGATGACCCTCCTCTCAATACCTGACCAGTGTTCATGGACGACAGTGCTAGGCCATACCGTACGCGTGCCGTGAATGATTTCTTACGTCAATAGGCGGTATCAACTCCACCTCTGTCCAGGAATCCAGATCTCAAATAGGATATTATGGGTTTCTCCTCCCCATGTTAACGTGTATGGTTGAAACGAGCGACATATTCAAGTTTTATACACTTGAACGGCCAGGTAGAGATACTGCTATATAAGTGGGTAGCATGTTCCACGTTCCATGAGCAAAACAATTCCTTATATATATATATATGTTTGTGTGCACATGTTTGTCCTTCAGAATTGGCGCAAGAGCTTTGTCAGTTATCGATCTAGTTATTATATTCAAATTTCCATATGATGAGTAAGGCAACATTCGTTCTTAAGCATCCGAAAAGCAATAACACTATGACACGAAATAATGCCGTGATTCGCGAAATTATATGGTGTGAAAAATGATGACATTTACGATGTACTCAGTCTTCAGAGGCCATTTTCAGTACTTCCATTGCCTAAGATGATAGTGGAGGATATAAAGGAACTGAAATTCCCCGCAGAATTCCAAACTGTGAAGTATAATTGAATTTATTCGAAAGGTTGAAGAGGACGTACATACACTCTTCAAACAAGAAACGTATAAGCCATTTTTTGTAGAATATATTGCGTTAGTTTAAGAGCAATTTTTATGTAATCTTAATGGTAAAAAGGTGAAAAATCACCCGTCTATAGGAAAGGATTTCAACACAACAGCATAATTTATTAGCCTGTTTCTTTTTAGTTGAGTCAACAAGATAGCGTGAAAGTCATTTCTTTATATGGCCACCAATTGCAGCAATTACTGTTCGGCACCGTCTTGGCACAGACTGGATAAGTCGATGAAGTCTCTATAGTGGAATTCTTCCCTACTCTTCCTACAATACGATGACCAGTTGTCGATCGAGTTCATCCCATAGGTGTTGTATCGGGTTTAGATCTGGTGATCCGAAAGGCCATGGCAAGACATTGACCTTAGAATCGGCAAGGTAGCGGACCGTGACGCGTGCTGTATGTGAAGTAGAGTTCTCATGCTGGAACCACTCCCTCTGTCGGTCAATAATCAGAAGCATGTGACGTGCAATGACTGCGTTGATGTACCGAGTTGCTGTCAATTTCCCCTGAACCATCACTAGCTCAGATCTTTGTGTGCTGGATATCGCATCCCACACCATCGAATCTGTCGACCTGACAATGCAAAGCCTTTCCGACGGTAAACACACTGTCTTCCATCCCGCCGGTGAAGAAGAAATTGTGATTCATCACTGAACCAGACTCGCCCCCAGTTTCAGTTCCGGACTCTATGACACCAATGCAAGCGAGAGCACTGATGGAAGTCTCTCAAGACAGTGGGGACAACTGGCCTTCTCGGTCAAATCCCCACTTCACGCAATCGATTCCTGACAGTTTGGTGGGAAATCCTTCTCAAACCAGGGATACGTTGTGCAAGTAAGCAGCCCGGATGTAGCGGTCCTAGGCTTGGGTGGTTGATCTTGGGCGGAATTGGTCTGCAGGAAACGATCCTAAAGGAGAGATATGGTGCTCGGATGAACGTTGAAATGTCGGGCAACTGCAGACTCTGACTCCCCGGCTGCAAGGCGGCTTATGGCGATGTTTCGATTGGCGACACTCGTGGCATGATGATTTCCTCTTTTCCAGGCAAATACGAATGACACGATTAAACACAACGTTTGTCTTTTTATAGTGATCGATACCGCATGCTTTTCCGCTTACTTACACATGCATTTTGCTTTGTATGTCTTCTTGGTGACGTTTTGGCGAATATTTCTTCAAACACTCCTTAAACAAGGGAAAACAGATGCCGCGTTTCGCGCGGAAGCTCTTTACAGTCACACAAATATTACGTTTGGGTAAGAATTAGTATATTTGTATTCTTTAGCCGCAGCTACATGTGTCCTATATTCTCAAAATCACCCACGCCTTTCTATTTTGGAGGAGTGTATATGCCCCTCTGGCATCCAGAGGTAATATCTACCTACTACACGCTACAGAGTATATCAGTTACTGTCCATCGACAATCATTCTTGCTTGCTTGCTCAAAACTATTATATATATTATAAATATTAAGTGACACAGTTTGTGTCTGTGTTTCAGCATAAAACTGATATTCATCTATTAAGTACGTATAACAGTTGATATCTTGATTTAGTTTCTATACACATGTAATATCTTGACTTTTGGTGGCATTAACAGATATCATGTATACATTAATCTGAAAGTAGGTATCTTCCGATACTTGACATTTCAAGGGATGGTAAAAATATTTCCTGAGAACTTGGCCTCAACAACTATACTCTGAATAAATGCCTATGGAAGAACATGAATGTGTGTAAAACTTACGCCGAAATGTATCCTATAGTTTGTCGAAAATACTCTGTGGGTCCATATGTTTGTCAATCTCATTGATTTTGCTTATAATACATTAGTGTATTATCTCTACAGCGCCTGGAGCCTCTACTATTGGCTTGATGGGCACTGGCAGACGTGCCCAGTTGTTAATACGTTCAGTGTTTCACAGTCTGTTACTAGTAGACTATGTAATGGGTGCCACCAAACACAAAGTCAACGACTGATCCATGGATCAGGAAGCAGGTTTTTCGAAATAGACAGGAAACAGCAAATACAAACTTCTGCAAACTCTCATCATATTATTGTAGTACGATTCAAACGAGACATCGCCTACAGTCAGTTCATCTATATTCTGGAAAAAACATGCACCGTAATGGTCGGTAAACTGGCAACAAACGTCAGTGGTGTGGACTGCTGTTCCTTCAGAAACATCGCGCCATTGTCACCTCCAGCAGCTTCAGATCCAGAGAGCGCCCTTTCCAGCAATGAGCATGTCTAACCTGACAGTGACACGCCAACCAAACTTTTGAAAAAATAATCATCCTCATTATTATGGTCGGACAAGGTCGATCTCACAAGGATTTGGGTTTGTCTGTCTGTTAAATACTATTATACAAAGAGAGGAAAACTAAAATCATGTTATTGCAGTACATTGCCATTCTTCCAGGAAGTACAGTATGCTTATTTTCTGTTGTCTTTGCATATAATTGTCACAGCTATTTTACTTTTTTTTGGACTCTCTTTACGAGGATAGTCAGGAGTGGGTATACTTCCCCACTGAATTATCATATTTACTTGAACTGGGTGGATGTTTCTGCTGGTGGACTTAACTCCCCCAGGTTTCACTTTATGTTCAGAAGCATTTTATCCGTGTCAACTATACAGATTGGTCCGAGACAATAAAACTGACTTCCACTTTGTTGTTAAACAGACCTGTTGCTACACATGTATATATACGTCTGCACTTCAACAGTCGTAATTCAAAATTGCAAAATGTATTTTCTAGTACATTGATTATTTAATTTCATAATCTGTTATATTTACAGGCCGCCGTCGCATGGCAACGTAATGCTAGGTCGGACTGAGAATACCTAATAGGACATGCTTAGAAGATAAAGCTACTCTGTTTTCAAATTTGCGGTCCTTTATCGTTGATTTAAGACCGCTAAATGTTCAATTTACAAACCTCACGCGTTTTTAAATTGAACATTTAGCGTTCTTAAATCAACGATAAAGGTCCGCAAAATTGAAAACAGACCAGCTTTATCTTCATTCTAGCACGACAGATAAGCGTTTTAAAACCGCACTCTTTGGAGCGCAAGAACACAAGGCGTGAAGTGGCCCTTTTCCTGGAAATTGCTTGGAATCGTCCAGTTGAGGGACAGGTTGTGTAATGAACAAAATAAGACATTTTCAACAGCACAATTTGCTTTATTTCAGGAACCAGTATGGTTCCAGTATGTAGCAAGTATGTAACCAGTATGTAACAAGTAGCATAAATAGATCACAAAATATACAGTTTATACTGTGAGCAACTACAATTATTTGATTTTCTAAAGTGAATTATTCACCTCCCCTTCTGTATCACAATCGACTCGCCCCATTTAAGTTATGAACTCGCAAAGTTTACTCGCCGTTAACTTTATTCATGGAAGTAATTGTTAATAACGACGCTACTATTCCCAATCTGGATAAGACCCGACATACCAGCTTTTATGTGGGGAACCTGCACAGTGGAAGTTGAAGTTGAAGGACTGGGCTGCAAAAACGGCAAAGACGGCGTTGGCCGAGTGAAATTCTTTGACTTGAAGATTGTTAATGTTCATGTTAAATGGTGGCTGTCTAAGGTGTCTGTGGATCGCTGCTCGGATCCCCACATACGATGACTTGGCATAATAATTCCCGTAGGAAGTTCGGACTTCAGCGTAGAATCGCTTTAGCAGAGCGTTCATTTCATCAACTGGAAGTGTCTCAAACTCGGGAGAGAGTTCGTGAAATTGTAGCCACTCTGGAAATATATTTTAATTTAAAAAATATTATTTTATGTGCGCTTCAATGTTTTAATATCATTTTGTTAAAGGTAAGTAACAACTTTATTTAACATGTTCAAGATGATTTACATCACCCTCGTTAATCATAGGATATGTTAGGCCAAATCTTGATAATTTTGTTAATTTAAAAAGATTGTCTTTGCTCTTACGTTTCAAGATGTTTACTCCCCACGCAGTTGTTTGAAGGGTGGTTTTTCTCCTCGAATCCAAAACAATATGTTCAAGATCATTGTCGGTCACTGTTTTGAAACGCTTGGTAGCAGGTTCATTTTTGATATGTAAAACAGTAAAATGGTAAATTTGAGTGAAATATTTACTTATGAATAAATTAAATTGCCGTTAAATTTCGTAATAATTGATTATTTATGCAAGGAAACATTTCGTACAAGACAAGAGATAAACAGGAATATTTTCAGTCTATTTTTTTCTTTCCTTTTTATATAAATAGACATACACCTAGCGTTCGAGTTGACGCCTGCTGACTTTTCAATTTAAGAAATGTGAAACGAATTATAGCTACCTGTAGAATTTTCCAGCTTCGAAGTTTCGTCATTTGCGTTAGGCTCCAGAAATTCTTCGTCGAACCATTCGATTTTCAGTTAAAAAACATCAAAGATGCTGCCGAGGTAGAAGTCTCCGATGTCAGACATGTTTGTTTACAAACAATACGGTCAACGAGTTCGTTGTATTCATACGCGGTGAATCGGTCACTTTAATTAGCGGTCTTTAAACTGTCATGTAAATACGGATTTGATGAGCTCTCAGCCAATCAGAATCGAGTATCACACATTGTCGTGCTAGAATTACCCTTTTCGCGAACAGGTACACAATTTTCACAACTTTATTGCCCTTTGCACCAGATATGATTTGTTCATGAAAATGGTCAAGACTTTTCCATTATCGGAGTATTATATTCTTAAGATCAAACGAAAATGATATAATTTGACGTTTGTTTATTATATATTCTAAACATACTAAATGTTAAAAAGTTCTTCTTCCGGAAGCCACATGGGATATTTGTAATGAAGAGAGTTTCAGATACTAAAATGATCTATTATTTACGATTACATGGAACATGGCTGGGATGGAAAGACTCCCACGACAGGACCAGATCAAGCCAGTAACTCTATGTCAGTTAGGCCAATCTTCCCATGATGCTTGGAACATGACCTGAGATGTGTTCAATCATCGGGACATTCGTGACCAACTCGTGTTATTCCGGGACAAGCCGAATAGCGACTCGTGCCCCTCTGGAAGGATTTCATATTGGCACAGGAACATCAGAACTACTTCAAACAAGAACGATTCCTGTTGATTCCAATGGTACTTATTATCACTGATGCACTCGAAAAGTGTATCGCTTGTTTTGCTTATGTTTTTATTTATTTATCTTAAATAATAAAACCTCTTTGATAAAACTAAAAAAGGAGAACAATATTAAATTTTGTTAAACACATATTCGAACGCAATTATAACCAGCTGTTCACCTTATATTTCCAAATGTGTATTTCTTAATAGGGTTTTAAAATCACAAATGGATTTGACTTATTGAATATACAAAGAATATAATCTTCTTATCAGTTACATTAAATCCCTCAGCAGATACTCAAAAAATACCTTAAATCTTTCTTAAACTGAACATTCATGAAACCTTGCTGCCAAACCTCTGGTGGAATATTAAAATGAATGCTCTGAAAAATATATAAACGACCCTAAAAAGTCAGACTATACTATTCACAGAGATGTGAAATATAAGCCCAATGTTAAAGTTGATCGGTCGAATAGAGATTTAATATTATTGTGTTGAAACTCGTAGCAATTTATAACTACTTTTCCTAAATATGGTGTAAAGCGCACGTACAATCTCCCAAAGAAGCCCACAAGATCGTCAGAAATACGCTCAATTGGCCTCATGAAAGTCGTAATGTGAACAAACGCACAAGCGTGAATTTTAATCTCTCACAGTCAGTCGCGTTATTCTTATTAAAAACTTCACATTAGGCAGCACAATTCTGTTACTTATGTTCTTGTACCTTCAATGGGACGATATATATTTTTCATGATTTTTTAAGCAATGCCATAATGGATTTAAGTACTCGGAATTATTTTTATCAGAATATCGCAGTCATTAAGCGCATTCTGACTGGTTTGTCGTATTTTTTTTGCACATAACAAGCATCGAGACGGGGACGAGTCTTCTTGGAGGTTACGGAAAGGGGCGAGTGGTAACGAATGTCATTGGGTTTCTTTAATATGCCGTCGCTGCCTTACCGATATCAGCGAGAATGGCGGCAACAACCGTTGTTCGTATGCTTCTCTGATTGTTGGCCTGTACTTACGTGTCACAGTCGCAGTGTGGCGTGTGAGTGCCTACAATAGAGAGTGTGACTTCAGTGAAACTGTGAAATTGAAATCCTTTATGTCGAAATAGACATTGGCAGGTAATATCTGATAAAGCTTCTACGATGTGCTAGTATAGCAGTGTAAAATACACTCAATATACTTCCAATATTGTCTATTTAAATATTTGAGTTTCTCAGATATAATTATTACGTAAGCCTCAGTGAAATCGAAATATTCATAACGTTTCATTACATAACATATCTACAAGCAAATCAAACAGTGGATGTTTATGCGTCAGATTGAACACTGACAGATACATAGCAGGTTATAGTGACGTAAGATAGACATATCCATCAAAGCCATCGCGCTCGGTGAATTTCTATTATATGGCGTCAGCAGTTAAAATTACGTAACAACACAGCAGCGACCCGTCGTCGGTCACGATTGACAATGTACAAGGTAAGGTAAGGTATCACTCCAAGTCAAAAGATAGGAGGGCGATTACTATAAAGGTCAAGCATCTTAACTGGTCAGTACACTGCTTAACTGTTATCGTTCCTCTTCTTCTTACTAAGAGCATAGCCCAGGTCCCAAACACGGGTCTAAAGCTTGATTATACTGGGTATGAAAGGACTGACTGACTGACTGAGTTTAGTTTTACGCCGCTTTTAGCAATATTCCAGCAATATCACGGCGGGGGACACCAGAAATGGGCTTAACACAGTGTGCCCATGAGGGGAATCGAACCCGGGTCTTCGGCATGACGAACCAACGCTTTAACCATTAGGCTACCCCACCGCCCCTCGGGTATGAAAGGAGTGTCAATCACTCATAATACTTACATTGACAGGAGCTCCTCAGATTGCTCTCCCCAACTAAAATATAATGTAATTGTTTAACGTAGAACATTCTAAATAAGAAATCCAAGAGTGTCGTTAGAGGGATTGTGTTTGCGGCATTATTGATTTCTTTTTCAACGAAATACTGTTTGCTGAATATTAACTATATAAGACTTCAATAATGTTTTCTTACAGTGCACGTGAGACTGTAACGTATTACTCATTATTACCTTCTATTGATATTACATGTATATTGTTCTGATAGCTTCAACTCACCGTTAATGTGTCCAAGACTTTCGGAATTCCTGAAAATACATTCTTTTCATGACAATGTAATTTACTCATCGTTGCTTATGTGATACAGCACTGTACTGTACAATATATAATCCGAGGCAAACGTTATTGTGAATGAGAGAAAGAGAGTGCTAAAATGGTCGAAGAAACGCAACCAACCAATGGTCAAACTGCACGCAATTTGCAAGAGGCATGACATTCGAGAAACATGGCTTGCAGCATTCACTTTAAAGGGCCAGAAATCCAGGTGTTCTGTGTCATTTCCATTCAATACAGTTTTAGAGGTGGGGCGTTATGATTTACCTTGAAACATTGGTCTTTTCATTTCATTCGCAGCAGTAAAAGTTTAACACTGATTCTGTTTGTTGGTTTTGCTTTTGAGTACATTTGACGTTGCTGTAGTTACTATAAACCAGTGTAGCTATACTGCACGACTCATACTAGAAATGTCACTGCGATGTGATGATTTTGTGATCCTTTGCCAAATCTGGATAAAGCTTGTCGGTCATTTACCACTTATGTGTTGATGTAAGTAGACTCTCATAGAAATGGCTATACAATACGTACGGACATTCATGTAGTCGTATCAAGTCGCATATACCTGAAACAAAGATTGTTTTATAATATTGCACTAGGTATTGCGAGTCTTTTGCATCCTCCCAATACAGAAAGCACGATTGTGTGAGGGCTTAAATACATTCTTTGATTCACTTTCAGAGATTGGTCTTTATCAACCCATGCTTGTCGTAATAGGCGACTAACGGGATCGGTTGGTCAATGCTTTTTCTGGCCCAGACTCTAGAGCTGGAATATTGCCGAGTGCGATAAAAAAAAAAATATTACAAAATTTCGGGACCTACTATTTCATTCGTTTCTGGAAGGCCGTCTCTGCTGTCACCTAAAGCGGGATGTCCGGATTATAAGGTCGTTGAAAAATAACGCGAGAACCCCGTGGAGTTAGTCTAATCTTGGTTGTGTACACAAACAACACATAGTAAAGTTAATCTACGGGATGTTACTTAACAGAACCTTGGTTTGTTAAGGATCTAGATCTACTGAACCTTGTTAAGGATCTAGATCTACTCAGTTATGTGTCAACCAGTGAGGCGTTCGACATTTCAAGACGAAAAACCTTCGCTGGTGGTGAGTACTCGGCGTAGGCTTTGATGTGAGCTATTTTTCTCATGTTTTGTTGATATTTAACAGGCGCAAGCTTTTTATATGTTATGACAGTAGATTTCCGATTTAGCTGTTTATATAATTTCATTTGACTATTTCACCACACGTAACATATGATATATTTGGGATTACACTTTCTCAGTAAAGTACAGATTCTAGTACTTTGGGGTTGAGTCCCATCAGGGACTCCAACCCACACCCTCAGAGTCAGGCACCTAATCGCCAGCACACAAAGTCAGACGCCTAAACCGCTCAGCCACCGCGGCTTCCACAAAAATGGAAGTCGGACAACTGGTACTCTAGACTTTGTGTACCCCTCTGACAAGCGTTAATTGGCACGGCTCCCACGGCCGAAAGCTATGAAAATACATAATGCCATTTTAGAAAGTGGTCAAATGTAACATATGTTATATTTGGGATTACACTTTCTCAGTAAAGTACAGATTCTAGTACTTTTTAGAGCCGTGCCAATTAACATTTATCAGAGGGGTACACAAAGTCCGCAGTCTAGACTACCAGTTATCCGACACTCATTTTTGTGGAAGCCGCAGTGGCTGAGCCGTCTAGGCGTCTGACTTTGTGTGCTGGCGAATAGGTGCCTGACTCTGAGGGTGTTGGTTGGAGTCCCGAATGGGACTAAAGCGCAAAAGTACTAGAATCTGTACTTTACTGAGAAAGTGTAATCCCAAATATAACATATGTTACATTTGACCACTTTCTAAAATGGCATTGCGTATTTTCATATTTCACCACACGTTCTTGTTACCGAGTCACTTTCTCAGTTCGATACTTAAAAGCAACGTCATTATTTAGCATTGTCAGAATTTCTAACTGTGATATAGATATGCCTCTGTCACAGACAAAACTCAATGTCTGTTTTATTGACACCTATGTGTCTGCCTGCCTGCCTGTCTGCTGAAGACAATATGCAATACACAACTTCGATCACTGACCATGTGCAATTTGAACTTAACACCTATCAGGCTATACACCATAAACAAAACGCATTGATTTATGGCTCGTGTCTCTGTCACATTATGTAATTACACAGACATGTATTTACAAAACCCAGCATCTCTATGAACAAACACAGAGCCCTGAGTGTATCGGCAAGTATGAACCACCTAATTAAAGTCTTCGTTACACGTAAGTGCACGCCCACCCGCTCTGACTGGGTTCGGTATCCCGGATGGTGTTTTTTTTAGGGAAGTAAACCCAAGTACAACATTTTGCACTTTGATTTGCGATTGTACGGTTATAATTTTGTTTTTTCAATTTGTTTAATTTTTATTTGTTTAATCAGCAATGTATACTGAAAGGCAAAAGAAATGTCGTAATATTGGAAATGACATTTAAGTATCAATGGAACATTTGAACCTATTTTTTAAAAATAATACGCCACTGAAATGCAGTACCGACTGTCATCAGAGAAAATAACCCCTCTCCATTGTCCCCCACGACAGTTTTGCCGCTGGTGTGTCCACTTGGATACGTTCCCGGCGGTGACGTTGGGTGAATATGGGTCTCCTGGCAGGACATCGACAAAACAGGTTCCTGGCTTGGAGACGTCGCCGAATGGTAGGTCACTGACTGGTCGCTGGTGGTTTCCTATGGTCACCCAAGCTGTTTCTCTGGCCCTTGCGAATAGGTCTTGCACGTGTTGATGGACGATATGACGGTCCTGGCGACGTGTTGTTACACGGGGTTGACCACTACGTGGACGGTCATCAGTGCTGCTGGTGGCGTTGTATCGCACTCTAAGACATTCTATCGTTCGTACGCTGCAACTGAAGTCATTAGCGATGACTCGAGCATGTTGACCAGGGTGCAGACGTCCAATAGCTTGTTGTGGTTGATCTCTCGTTAACCTAGTCATAGCTGCTGTGTTCAGAAAACAAGTGAACGATTGCCATTCAAGCCGGCAATTTATGCCTGAATGCATTTATGATGCACGTGCATCTCGATTTCAATGTTGTGTTTGTGGGAACTTTTCCCTCTCCAAAAAGCAAAAACATTTCTAACTTCAAGCTCAAACAATTCTTTATTGGGCAATGCAGGCTATACGACCACGATTCATGTTTCCTCAAACTTGACTTCTGGTGTATATTTAAAAAAATAGGTTCAAATACTCCATTGATACTCAAATGTCATTTCTAATATTACGACGTTTCTTTTGCCTTTCAGTATATATTATATATCATGAATAAATGATAATTGTGTTTTAATTATGTCTGTTATTTTCGGTTGCATTTGACCTTGAACTTAGCGGCAAAACAACGTAGTGAGAGATTATGTTATGTAATTGAAATTGGCGAGAACAGCTGTAAAATTTGATCATGTCTATTGAACCATCGATCACTTTGATAAAATTGACATGCGGCAAGATAACTGTATGTTAGTTAATATACCTTATTTCACTTGTTTTCACAACCCGTCTGAAATTTGCACAACATGTCTGAAGACAAGATACTCATCAGAAATTGCTTATTATGCGATTATTTGTACATTTTTAAAGTTGTAAATCAATTAAGAGGAATGCAGCCAAGATTAGGGCTGACTCAGCGCCAGTACAGTTCATATTTTAAATAATAATATGAACTTTTAATTGAAAACTAAATATTTGATGAAAGCATCAGAGTGGTATAGTTTCTCTTGCATCTCAATTTATATATAGGCGAGACGTATTTTGGGTTGATCATCACACAATAAATCACAAAATACAGTGACACATGGATGACTACAGTAAAACCAACGTTTGAACATATGATGTATTACTTACACTCAACACCCTTTAGTTTTCTATGGTTCTTGTCAGAAAACGCAAGTGCTCCTGCAAAAACGAAAAATGCAAGTTCAATAATTTGTTAGAACTTGGAGTACACTAGGAATGTGCATTATCTTTGCGATTAAAGGTCCCTATAGTTCACACCTGATCTGGCAACCCTTTCTTGTCACAGTCTAAATATTTCGTGGATTGTCAGAAAAATGTTGAATAAGACATCTAGCGAATAGCGTATTATACCCCTTGGCTTCTACTTATTTAAGACCACATTTCCCAGTATATAAAACATTTTTGAAACCTACATTGACATTACTCAATGAATATGGCAATCATTTTGTGAGGTTTGCGAAAATATTCGTAATGAAAAGCACTGCAACACCGTTGAAGAAGGAGTACAAGTCACCAGTTGAAAAGAGTAGTACAAAGTATGAAGTGTGGTGATGTTGAGAAGTTAAGGAAGGCTCCGGAAGCCAAATTAACCTGATTTCTACAACGTCACCAAGAAGATTTTTGACGCTTGAAATGATTAAAAGAGTAGACGGTGGACATGGCTGTTCACGACAGATCTGTAATGATGGACGTTCGCGTCAACCTCTTTCCTCTTGTAGCTGATGGAAACTCTTCCGGCATAGAGCCAGTTGGCCCAAAAATTTGTGATCCTCACTCTTCTTCTTCCTCAGTAGCAGATCTTTCCAAAAATCCCGTTTACACTTTGTTCAGTTCCATTTATGAGGAAATTTGTGATTTACCTTTAGAGAAACAGAGGCCAATTACACAACTTTTCCCAAGAATGAAATCAATTTACTCAAAGAAACTATTTCTCTAAAACTTTTTGTGGACTGTCCGTTTCATGACGTTAATTGCTGTGTTTGTGCTGCCGCTCGAACTTAAGAGGCACTTCACACAGTTTCCAAAGAAAACCAAACATCTAGTGATAATACCAAACACCAAAGAAAAACCGGTTTCTCGTAACACGTTCTGAAATTAGAAGAATTATTTCCTGGATTGAGCTGTGCCTTAAAATAAGATCGCCAGGGAACCCCATGTCCTAGAGGCCAAAGTCAATTTGGAGGAGTGAGTGAGTGAGTTTAGTTTTACGCCGCACTCAGCAATATTCCAGCTATATGGCGGCGGTCTGTAAATAATCGAGTCTGGACCAGACAATCCAGTGATCAACAGCATGAGCATCGATCTGCGCAATTGGGAACCGATGACATGTGTCAACCAAGTCAGCGAAACTGACCACCCGATCCCGTTAGTCGCCTCTTACGACAAGATAGTCGCCTTTTTATGGCAAGCACATGGGTTGCTGAAGACCTATTCTACCCCGGATCTTCACGGGTCGAATTTGGAGGAAATCAAAATTACAATAGATGACAACGAAAAAAAGGTACTTGTCCAAATTGCCGATTCCCTTAAGAAACAATTAAAGGTTTGGACTGAAAGAAGTAAAAATGGGAAAAGAACAGCACATTTATGAAATAAAATAAAGTTAATATTGAAAAGCATTTTTAGAGGGAACTCAAAACGAAAGGTGATGGTGAGCATGATAAACGGCCTCCCATGGATGCCAGTGAAAGGTTCTGGAAATAGTTGTTGTCTGTACCCTGTAACCTTGAGGCACCATGGGTGAGAAATGTTCAAATCTAATACAGCCCAGGGCCTGATGGCATTCGAAACCGGTATTTGAAACTGTTCCCTGTGTCCAAACATTACTTTACTGCTTCAATTCTCTCGTGGGCACAGGTGATGTTCCTCCATGGTTCTATAAAGGTCTCACAACACTCCTTGGATGATCCCAAAACCTTCCGCCCTATCACATGTTTGAATACACAATATAAAATCACCACAGGGTGTCTGACAAACCTCGTGTCATCTTACTGCTCTTCTAATCACATATTTTATATAGAGCAGAAGGGAGCAAGGAAGGGGTGTTGGGGGTGCAAGGATCAACTTCCTGTACAAAATATGATTTTGGAAGAGGCTAAAAATATCACCGCAAAATCTCTCCATCATACGACCCTGTCCCTCATGAATGGATTCTGAAGTCCCTTCATTGTATTTACCTCCCTGAGCGAGTCTTCATGAGTTTACTCAAGTCTTCAACTTGAGATGTACTCGCAAGGGCAGGTGCAGACTTCGGAATCCATTCCAGTCAGAAGGGGAATATTCCAGGGGGACTCCTTTAGTCCTTAGCTTTTTGTCTGTCTTTAAATCCATTGAGCTTCCAGGTCAATAAACAGGAGGGCTACCATTCTGAACCTCCTCAGCACACCTTACTCATCTCCTTTGCGTGGATGACATCGAGCTCCTTGCCAAAGGAGATACCACATTGAAAGAACAGATTTTCCTTGTTGAGTCCTTTTCTAATGATTTTGTCATGGGATTTGGTCTTGACAAATGTAATACTCCCCCATTTGAAACGTGGCAAGGTAATTAATGATTGATCGGTCAGGTTACAAGGGGGCAGGAGTTATTGAGCATTTTGTGGAAGATCAGGCCTACATCTATCTTGGAATGCAAGTTCGAGACAAGCTCCAGAATGCCCAGATTTAAAAAAAATCCGGGGCGAGTACAAAACTTGCTTAAAGAAATTCTTGAGCTCGGAGCTAACTTGCTCGAAACAAGGTCAAAGCTACCAATACTTTTGCTGTGCCAGTCCTTTCTTATTGTTTGGAGTAGTTGATTGGACAAAACATGACATCCAGAGTCTTGACCGCCTGATAACAGTGCCCACCACCCTCGCTCCTCTCTAAATCGTTTATATATGCCAAACAATTTGGGAGGTCGGGGTTTGAGTAATGTGGAGGCTCTTCGTGATAGAATTCTATTGTGTACTTTTGCACATACTTATTTATCGGATGATCCTCTGCATGTCAAGACTCACGATGAAAGCAAGGAATTCCACAGCTATTTTAAGCGTGTCAAGGTTGTTGGACAGAATATGAAATTTGAAGTTGATTTTGGTTGATGTCAATGTACTGCTGGACAGTACAGCGACGGGAGTAAGCCTTCAACAAGTGAACCAAGAGTCGGTCATTTGTGGGAGAAGTTCTCTGAGAAGCCATTGCAGTGTGTGGAACAGAACAGCAATCTTTCGCCTGGATGAAGTCGGCTGGTGTTAAATGTGAAACTGAGGACTTCCTTTTTTCAGCTTTGGGCCAGTCACTTCACACTCACAATCACCTAAAAGAAAATATTAACATGCAATGCCGACCGAATTTACAAAGACTGCCCAACACCTTGTCAGTGCAAGTCTTTTCTTGGCACAAACAGCATATCCTGAAAAGACATTATGGCATGGCTCGTTGCTTCTACTATCATCTTAGCCATGCCTGTGGCTTTGACTCTGTGGTCCATCCATGGTACGACCCTGAACATGTCAATCATGGAATATGATGCTTTTAAACGTCTTTAGAATAAGCTCGTATACAGTCTCAGAAGAATTCCAGCCAACGCACCTGATTATGTCCTTTTTGATAAAGCTAATGAATTTATTTATATCATTGAATTTTCTGTCCCTTTTGAGAGCAATGTGACTGGCAAGATTCAGGAAAAGCGTGCTAAATATGCGGACCTCGACTTTGAAATGTCATGCTTGCATCCCTAGTACACTGTCGTCAGACTCGAGTTCTTGGTGCCCCTGGTTTGGTACCTCCTGATCTCTTGGCGCAGACCAGGAGAGTGCCTGTGATCTCCACCGGAGCAAAGTCCTTCTGACAATCTTGGTAATGCAGAAGGCTGCGGAATACGTTAGAACGAGAACTTTGAATTGGATCCTCTTCTTGTACGGAAACAAGTGCAGCTGCTTTAATGCAGACGTGATGTGGTCGAACTTTCTTTGTCCTCGTGATAACTCTTGCAGCCATGTTCTGCACCCGCTGAAGGTATGGTGGCGCACTGGACTCGATCCATATTTTTTTATCCCCCGCAACGCGTTTTGCGGGGGATATTAAAATGGACTCCGTCCGTGCGTCCGTCCGTCCGTGCACATTTGTCTTTTCCGGAGCAGAACTCTAAAACCGTTCAATATGTCTTCACCAAACTTGGCACATAGATAGATCTGGTGGTGTACTGGTGCCTTTTGGTAGTTTTGGAATTCTGAATAAAATATTTTTGGCGTTTCCATGGCAACAAGTTCGACTTAGACTGAAATTGGTGGTAGTGCTCTTTTCCGGAGCAGAACTCTAAAACCGTTCAATATGTCTTCACCAAACTTAGCACATAGATAGATCTGGTGTTGTACTGGTGCCTTTTGGTAGTTTTGGAATTCTGAATTAAATATTTTTGGCGTTTCCATGGCAACAAGTTCGACTTAGACTGAAATTGGTGGTAGTGCTCTTTTCCGGAGCAGAACTCTAAAACCGTTCAATATGTCGTCACCAAACTAAGCACATAGATAGATCTGGTGGTGTCCTTGTGCCTTTTGGTAGTTTTGGAATTCTGAATTAAATATTTTTGGCATTTCCATGGCAACAAGTTTGACTTAGACTGAAATTGGTGATAGTGCTCCTTTCTGGAGCAGAACTTTTAAACCCTTTCAATACTCTCCTTCCACTTTTCTATGTACACACCTAAATATTTGACTTAATCGTTACTCGTAGACATAATCATGAAAAGTATTTTGCCATTGCAGGGGATATTGATGACTTTGTCTTCTTGTTTCCTATGTTCCTAAGATACATTGTGGCAGTACAAGCTGATTACAGGACACGGTGAGTTGCAGGTAGGGTCTTGTTGATAGGAACAACAAGATGCCTTACTTGATCTGTTCGGTTTATCTCAATGGAAAGTGGGTGTAGTGGAATATTCTGTAACTGGTGTCATAAACTCGGTTTTGTTGTTATTTAGTTAAAGAAAAATAGCGCACATCTATTGAATCATGTCTTGTACACATGAGTCCAATTTGGCTTGACATGATAGGTACGTAGATAGTTTAGCACAGACGTTGAGTTGTTTGTCGTGGATGTAGAGGTGGTAGTTAAGGCCATTGTCGGACATGATGCCAGCTACCGATCGGTAGGATATAGATAGAAAAGAGTACTGGTCCACGTACCAATCCATGTGGCACACCGTTTGTCAAGTCACACGATTGGGATGTCAAACCTTCCACCAGCACACTCTTCTGGTGGCGTGTGAGATATGTCTTGAACCATATCCCGTTATCCCTGTTGTGTGTTCTAGCCGTGACATCAGAATGGAATGGTCCACAGTGTCGAACGCAGAAGACAGGTCGAGTAGAGCTAGGTGAGCTAGGTTCCGTCCATCCACAGATCGGAGGACGTCATTTTCCTCTCTCAGGAGAGCAGTCTCGCTGTAGTGTCGAGATCAGCACGTAGACTGAAACATATCGTTAAGGTCATGCCTCCTTAAGTGTTGATTCCACCTCGCTAAGATGACTTTCTCCAGTACGTAAGAGAGAAACGGTAAGTTTGGTACAGGCCTGAAGTTTTTCAATAAGGAGTCGAAGGAGGGTTTCTTGAGGATAGATTAATAATTGCTGCTTTGAAAGAGCTGGTCACAGTTCTTTCATCGACTGAAGCGCTGATTATCAAGTACACTTCTTCCACGAACACAGGTAAGTAGTTTCTAAGGAGCCAAGTGGTTTTCGGGTCCAGCCGACATGACTTGACAGGAGATTTCTGGATTTTGTCTGTTACTACCTGCACAGTGGTTAGGTAGAAGCGGGACAGGGGCAGCCCAGTGAATGTTGTGTCTCTGTACAAGGGATCAACTGCATCGGTAAGCTGGTTAGAAAGGGTGTCTCTCAGATGTGTGACCTTGTTGATGAAGTATCCACAAAACTGTTTCGCCTGCTTTAAGGATTCTTCGGATCTACAAATGTGCTCTTGCTTTGGTTCTGTCAGTAGTTTTATGATTGTGAAGAGCTGGATGCAATCCATATGTGTAGTAAGTGTAACCTACTTTGACCAGTGAGTTTTCTGGTCGGGGACAAGTTGTTTTCGTCGTCGTGCAGTCCATGTGGAAGGACAGTCAAAGGTTAATGATTGTGTACCAAGACCATCTCACCACTTTCTGCATCCTGCATACCCTGAGTCTACAGAGAGAAACAGAAGTAAGCCACTGGGATAAAGTAACTGTGCATTATTTGATGTTATGTCATTTAAATGCAAAGAGATAATAACATGATTTGTGGTGTTTTTTTTGTTAATCACCGTTTAACTGATTACAGGAAAGTATCGAAATCTGTATGATTTGACATTAGGCATTGTGACACGCCCTTGAAGAGATATGATGTCAAAAGTCCGTTCACAAATTCAGTATCGTGTGTGTCTACCACTGGTGTTGATGCAGGACTGACAACGACGACGAATAGACAATACCAAGCGAGTGAAGAAATGTTGTGGAATGTTGTTGTCTGAACAGATGCTTGTCTCAATTCAGCTAACAACCCAAAGAGAGTATCGGAATATTCTTCTGTCTCGGAAAATCTGTCACGAGTGACATATGGACAGGCATTATCTTGCTGAAGCAATGTCTCTGTCCTTGATTGAACGTCTGTACATGCAACTCAATGATCTCATCTCTGTATTGCAGACCTGTCAGACTTCCATTGAAAATGACAAGTTGCGTCTGACCAAGAGATGTGATGTTTGTCCATACCATAACATAACGCAGCTGTCTACAAACTGTCCACGTTTAACAACGCACGCGTCAGCATACCGCCGTCTGCACACCATTGCCCTTCCACCTGACCTGTCCAGATGAAATCTCGACTCGTCAGTGAACGAAACACTACCCCCAATTAGTCTCCTGTGGATACGGTCTGCACCAGACAAGACGTGACTCTGGGTGACGTTGGAGCAAAATCTAACGTATTGCATGCCGTCGGAGCCGGATGTTGTGCTTCCTCAGTTGGTTCCGTACAGTCCTGGAACTGATTGGACGTAAGCCAGGAATAATTCGAGCAGTCAAACTCGGAGTCTGGAATTGGTTCCTTAGATAGGTCAGCCAAATGTGGTTGTCATGCCGACGTGACGTCACGCGTGGACGCTCGGTCCGAGGCAAATCTCTTGTGTTGAAAATATCTCCATAGAGATGCGATCGTATTTCGATGCACACCAAAATCTCTGGCCACTTCATTTTGGGCCATTCCAGTCTCCAGCATACCCACGAGACACTGATTTTCTGTAGGTGGTGGCATGACGTACGCGCAGCTTAGGTTGAAATTAACGTGTTTTCCACAAATTTCAGAAGCTAGAGAATAATCAACCATTCTTCAATTATCAATATCAGGAGTGTGAACTTCAGGTGTAAAAAAGCATGCCGTCATTTGGGGACACCGGTGATCATGCGGTCCGACAGTGGTTCCGAATTCACTGCATGTTTCATCACAGCAATGCCAGACGTCTTGCCTGACCCGACGTTAGTACTTACTAGCCAAAGGAATCCACAGAGCCAGTAGTGATATTAATGACATGATTGTGGCTTAGAAAATACGTCTCAGGAATAGTCGACGGGTATTAAGCCTCTATGTCTCTATTTAGCCGAAGTTGGTAATGATATCATTAAGTATCTTCAGACAGATTAAAGACCTCCCGTCACCTTTGTCTAATTCCAAAAGACATATGACCATGACACAACTGAACCATGTCATTCTACGAAATGCCTGAAAAATGTAGACGTTTTATTTAATGTTTCCAACAGTAAATAGTCCCGAAAGCGCGCTGTCCGCTTTACGGGGGTCCTGAGTAACAGTATTGTTTATATATATTTTAAGATCACTATATAATTATGATAGGTATATAATCATGATAATTGATATCAGATATTCGATCGCTAAAACCCATCATAAGACAACATATTATTGTATTCAGCACCACTAAAATACGTTTGATGTTATTTACTGTAACATGTGTTCAGTGACTGCCAAAAAAAACCGTAGCTTGGAAGACAGAGTAATGTGATTACCAACCTCCTATCTTTGTAATCACTACGATCACCTCTTCGTCCTCTTCACTACAATATAAACAAATTGCATATATTAATTAACCGGGTAAATGTTTTCGCGTTTATACCGAAAACGGGCCACGCCCATTGACTGTTTCCTGATTGGCTGATAACAGAATGACTTGTATGGAATTATTTCTGAACCACGTACCTGATTTCGTGAGTGAGTTAAAATTTTACATCGCATCGGCAATATTACAGCCATATAGCGATGAAAACAAGGTAATCAACCTAAATAGCTGTCGACAAAGGACAGTAAAACAACTAGAATATCACAGATATAAATGTAAAACTAGTAATTAAATCTTAAACATTTTAACTATAGAGGACAACACAATATAATAACAGGCTATAGATCGCCAACAACTGAAGGTAGATCACCATACCAGGGACCATGGGGACTTACAGTACCTTTGCTACCTGCATGGACCCTAGTTTGATTTACACCATCCCTTCAGCCGCTGGCGATTGTAGGAAATATTTAATAATTTTACAATACTTTAACCCCCTTTGAGGGTACAGCCACTAACAATCTAAATTACTAATCTAAACTACCAATCTTTAAAATGTAGCTATTTACAAAACACATTACTCAGAATTCATGCAATAAATCAATCTCTTTTAAAAAAACAATAATTAAATGAAAATTAACATTTGTAAAAAGATCCTTCATTGTTTTTACATTGAAATATTTTTCCCTTATGATGGACCTGATTTCGTGAGTGATTTTGTGAGTGTTAATGAATGAACAAGCAATCTGCGAACTTAACATTGTTAGCAGCAGATTTAGATAGTGCGCACACTGAATGTTACTTTATACATCTAAAACTTGCAAAAGTAATTTTAGATCATTTGTGAAACGTAGACAAAAAGTGTGGTTTTGTGGTGGTCATTAATTCCGCAACAAAGGGCGAGGGAAATATAAGTACCGTGTGAAATAGTGGACGTTTTATACCATAGTTTCTTAAAGTGCGGACTGTGGGCTTCTGTAATACATCAAGCTAAGAAACACAATGATACGTGTTGTAGCTGTACATGTGTTAAGCAATGCATGCTGCACATACCTACTGTTGCTACCGCTGTGGGAACCACCATCACTGATCTTATTACTACGACAAAAGCACAGTGAGTTTTTCCCTGAAAAAGAAAGCATCTGACATTGGGTCACAATAAGTGGATGTTTGGTATTTCACCATATCGAGTAAAAATAGAGATAGTCTGACTACTTTGATACGCAACCTTATGTGAAGATGAACATTTATAATAAATAACCGTGAGTAATAATGTCCTACATACTATGATCAACTTACTTCAAAAGAAAGTAACGTTCCGTGCTAAAACAACCACGTTATCATTACTATGATGATGTTCTTAGTAACTTGCCATTGAGTAATATATGGTAAAGGACGTCCCAGCAGTACCAAACATCACAATAAGTCCGGTGCACTAAACAAAGTCAAAGCTACTTTTCTCTATGAAATGGTATTTTCTTCTACATGCTTGGTACATAATGAAACATATTGCCCATCAAGCAATATTGTTTAATATAAAGTGTATGTTTTCTGATTTACGTTACAAGTACCTTTAATTGTACGTACCTTCGTTGTTGCACACTACACTCCCAAGATTACAGCCTGGAAAGTATAAAGACAATGACAGATACTTCATGGAGTATTTACTGTGCCAACATCGAAAGTTGTAAATTCGTTCATTATATACTTTTTACTACAGTGGGTAGGTTTCTGGCAGAATATAACCAATGGATAGAAGTGATATTTTTTGTGGTTCAAAATTCGGCCATGCCACATTTGACGCAGTATTGTAATTAGAAGATAAAGCTACTCTGTGAAAATTTTCAATTTTGCGGTCCTTTATCGTTGATTTAAGACCGCTAAATTAAACATTTAGCGGTCTTAAATCAACGATAAAAGACCGCAAAATTGAAAACAGAGTAGCTTTATCTTCATTCTAGCACGACTGATAAGCGTTTTAAAACCGAACTGTTTGGCGCGCAAGAACACAAGGGGCAAAGGGGCCTTTTTCCATGAAATCGCTTGGAATCGTCCCGTTGAGGGACAGGTTGTGCAATGAACAAAATAAGACATTTTCAACAACATAAATGCTATATTTCAGGAAACAGTATGCTTGTATTTGTAACAAGTAGCATACATAACTTTAAAAAAATACAGTTTATACTGTGAGCAAGTACAATTATTTGAATTTTCTCAAGCGCATTATTGGTCTCCCCTACTGTATGACAATCGACTCGCCCAAATGCAAGCCGTGAACTCGCTAAAGTTAGTCGCCACTAACTTTATTCACGAAAATAGTTGTTGATAACCACCCTCCTATTCCCAATTTGGAAAAGACCTGACATGCCACGTTTTATGTGGGATACATGGACAGTGGAAGGGGAAGGACTCGGCATTACGGCCGGGACGGAAGCGGTCAGGTTAGGGCCGAAGTGTGTTGTCGATGTCAACACACGTAGATCTGGACCAGCTTTGAATATACTGCCGCTTTTGCGCTGCTGACGGATTTTCCAGCTTCGTAGTTTCTTCACTGGGATTAGGGTCAAGAAATTCTACTTCAAACCATTCGCTTTTTACTTCCAAAACACCAAAGCTGCCGAGATAGAAATTGCCGATAGGGACACAAACAATAGGGTCACATGTTCGTTGTATTCATACGCGGTGAATCGGTCACTTTAATTAGCGGTCCTTAAACTGTCATTTAAGTACGGTTTTGATGAGCTCTCAGCCAATCAGAATCGAGTATCACACATTGTCGTGCTAGAATGATATATTTTTGCAAGATGTAGTTTGCCCTTGTAACTATACTCACGTAAAAAGAACGATACAACTAGTGTATTTGGTGATTAACGACGTATATATACTAGGCACATAAAGAAACTGTGCATACAAAAAATTTAAATCTAAATTTATCAAACCTGTGTAGACACATAAGGATGTAAACTCAGAGATTAGAGACATGTATCCAACAGTGTATGCACGTGCCACGTTCCGTGACGTCAGTGGGTTCGTCCTTGAGACGTACATTCCGGGAAAAAGAAACAGCAAATGAATGCCACACAATACTGTCACTTTGGAAAGCTCAACCCCTGCCCTTGCGATCGTTCAAAAAATTAAACGGCTATTGAAACGCATAGCATGCCAAGGCTCACGTCTGCACAACGTCATGAGGCCATTGGGATGGTCCGTGGGGGAATGTCTCAACGAGAAGTGGCTGCACATTTCCACTGCCACCGGAACACCATTTCTGCACTGGTGAGACGCTACCAGAACACAAATGACGTCATCGATCGGCCACGTTCTGGACGTCCACGTGTAACAACGCCAAGACAGGAAAGATGGATAAGGGTGACCCATCTTCGCCACATGTTTCAGACTGCAGTGATGACTGCCCGAACCATCCAAGGACTTCGCCGTATCCACCCCAACACAGTTCGACAACGTTTACGTCATCACGGGATCAGACCACGACGTCCCGCCATACGGCCTATCCCGACACAACGTCATCGACAAGCTCGCCGAATGTGGTGCCGAAATCATGTCCGCAGACCCTTGTTTTGGTGGAGAAATGTTGTTTTTACAGATGAGTCCAGGTTTAACATTTCCCATAGTGATGGACGTCAATGTGCTTATAGACGCGTTGGAGAACGTTATGCACAGGCCTGTGTCTTGGAGAGGAATCGCTTTGGTGGTGGTTCCGTGATGATTTGGGGTGGAATAACAGCACGCCAAACAACCACTTTGGTGATTGTTCAGGGTAACTTAACTGGTGTGGGCTACAGGGATCAGATTCTTCGATTCCTTTTCTGCAACCTCATGGCCCTGGGTTAACATTCCAAAAGGACAATGCCCGCCCTCATACGGCAAGGGTTGCTATGGATTTCATGCAACACCACAACGTTGACTTACTGCCTTGGCCTGCAAATTCACCGGATCTCTCCCCGATAGAGCATGTTTGGGACGAGATGGATCGACGTCTACTCCGTCTTCCTCATCCGCCAGATAACGTCCTTGACCTTGCAACAGAACTTGAGAGAATCTGGCGTGACATCCCACAAGCCTTCCTTGCACGTTTGATAGGCTCTATGCGTCGTCGATGCACTGCTGTTCTCAATGCCGATGGTGGACGTACCCGTTATTGAGCTTGTGACATGGTCGTTTGACCCCTGTCCCGCTCGTGGACTCGTGACGTCATTGTGATTGACTTTTCAATTGAAATTCTCCCGACTTGTTATGGTCTCATGATCCCTCCATTAAAATTTATATGTACCTTTGACATTGTTATCGTACTTATCAACTGGGATAATATTTTGACAATGCACAGTTTCTTTATGTGGCTAGTATATGTTGAAAATTGCTTTGGTCATGACGTACAATTCACAAACATTATAGTTGTGTTACCGAAGCGCCACTGATATAGAACTATTTTGGATGTTTGTGAGAAAGTAACAAAGTACCAGCTGAGTAATTTCTTTTGTACGTCAATTTTTATTCCCATGAGTGTAGTTCTTAGCTGATTCGGGTAGAAAATCAATTAAAAAAAGTTTTCTCGCTATAGACTGACTGAAATGAATAGAGAAATAAGTAATTCTAGAGTTACGTATAATGCTATCACTACAGATTCAACTTCATTAGTAAAGATACATTTTTGAAAAGTTCTACATTCTTACCTATATGCAGAGATGGATAAGGCAACTTACATGACCAATATTTCTGTAAATAGCCGTTTTTACTGTTGGATTAATGAATTCGAAAGTCCTAAAAAAACCTTGTGAAATTCTATTTTCAGAACTCATACAAAACAGCGTGTTGTGAATGCAGCAATTAATTTCGAAAGCACGTGGAATAATAACATAACTGAATATACAAAACTTCTGCTGATACTTTCATTACATCAAACACAAAGCGCTTACTTATGTTGTTTTCAAATTTATGAAGTAATACTGATATATTTTATTGTTTTAAAGATATCTTGAATGCAAAAAGAGAATGAATGGTGAATAGTGAACTGAAATATCTTGAAATGAATTAAAGATATCTCAAATAGAGATAACATATTGAGAAATTTCGGATATCTAAGATTGTTTTAAAGATATCTTGAATAAAAATTGAGATATTTGGATTGAAGATATCTTGAAATGAATTAAAGATATCTCGAAAAGAGAAAATTATAGATATCTGCAATAAAATGCATGATATTGCTAAATGAATTAAGGAAACCATGAAGCATATTAATGATATCTTGAAAAGAATTGCTCATATCTTGAATTGAACTGGAGAAATTTTTGCCGTTCTCTCCTGTTACTTGTATACTCCCCATCAAAAGCTTAGACTCACTTAAAACACTCACTATATGTTGTGAATATATATATGGTTACATCGAAGATGAATTTCTCCACTAACTTTGGGGAACCAACTGCAACCTTGCGCAGATGAATTGCATGAGGAGCATGCATCAAATGGCTGAAAACCATATGCAAATATAGTCCGTGTAAACAGCTGCGTTTTGGTGTAAAGTTTTCACTGATTTTTATCATTTATTGAACACATGACAAGTCTTTTCAACATTACGAATTTGTTTTACAATACTTCAGATCATGTGTAAACAGTACCTTTACACAGTATGGAATATTTTGCAAAGTCTAGTTAAGAACAGTTGACTGAAGTAAATGTCTATATTTACACTAATGTGTAAACTTTTAATGGGTAGTATATTATTGATATTAATAATTGATTCAAAGTTATCTTGAAAATCATTACTGGTATTTTTAATATGATTTTTGATATCAGTAACGTTCAGAATTGAAGACATATCTAACTGAATTAAAAATATCGCTAATTGAATTAAAGATATTTCTAAATGCGTTAAAGATATCTGTAATGCATTTGTGGATATGTATAAATTATTTCAAGATAGTGTGAATTGAAGATATCTTAAATTTATTTCTATTACACTTATGTACACTATTGATATCCCAATAAGGATTTAAGACCTCAGTAATTATTTTTGGTTATCAGAAATTTATCTGATAACTTCAATTATTTACAGATATATTTAAAACATTATTGTTGTCTTTATAAAAATACAGATATCTTTAAAACATTTGAAAATATCAAATGTCTTAATAAATGTGAAACCGACTTGCCATACGTACTAGCAAACAAATGCCAAGGTAATTCATACTGTTTGTAGACCATCTGCTCTCTGAGAAAAGCCGCTTACATGGTACGCAAGCAGGTGACATACTTTATTGAAAAACATATCACTGCCAAGCAGTTATCCCCTTTTGAAACCACTGAGTGCAATCCGCTAATAGTTGACCATAAACCAAAGTTTAGCTGCTTTTGTCAACTGTATCAGTTCTCTGACAAACCTACGAAACAAATTAATTCAAAATAGATGCATGTATCATTTGATCTGAATGTACGAAGGTGTTATCGTGGCCCATTTGCAAGTAGTGAATAAATTCATTTAAATGCTTAATGATAATCACATGCGTAAATGCTGGCATGTGCACGAGATGTAAGAAATAAGTGCATGTTTAAGTGGTATCTAGAGCACATAATGCTTCAAGTTTGTGCTTGTTTAATATCTTACAAGGACCATCAATTTCAACATCATCTACCTATGAAAATACATCCAGCATTTGTGATACGAAATTTATTATTACCTTGAGTTTGTATCTTATACAATGCAAAATAGTGAAATGGGGTTTTGAATGAGGTTTTGAATTAACGTTGTACATTCACACACGTTTAATTGCCTGTTCGAGTCCGCACTAACACCGGTTTTAACGTGCGAGACCATCTGGACACCATGCCGCAATTCAACCCTGATGTTTCAGTTTAACCCATTCATGCCTCGTGCCTGGAAGAACAACAAGTACCACATTTTGGTATGTCTGAGACTGGGATCAAACCTACCGCCCCTTCTCCACTAGCTCTGTTTGCATTTAGTCTGTTTGCATCAGAATTGGAATTTCAGCGTTGGAATAACGTATGTTAAGGAGTGTGACCCATTGTATCTTTGCTACACCGATATAGAAATATGGCAATACCTTCACAGGAACCACACGAACTGCATGCGCTGCATTTTTCACGTAGCAAGATGCCTGAAACATAAGATTACATTTGACTTCAAATGACATTTTACATTATGTAATATCTAACAACTGTTCATTCACCGGTTTACGAATTCCGAGTTTACACGTCATAAAAAACAACCCCACTTTTATCAGTCTTGTTATTGCATCAGATTTAAACTCCATACGAACAAAATCGGTCTTTGATGTTTACGTGTAACAAAATAGGATTCGATAGATGGAGAAAAATACATTTTCATCCAAAATCAGGGGTATTAGTGCCTAGATAAGGAAGATGACTGTCGTCAGTACTCCTCACACTTATGAATACTTAAAATCCCATGATCTACTGGTAAATCAGGATAAGTTGGGGTGTGAGCAGACAATTAACCCTGTATGGCATGCATGAGGTTCATTATTGTGACGAAAGGCCAAGATGGCGATCCGCAACAAGTACGATGGATAACAGCACAACAAGTGTACACATTCTCCTTCTGTAACAAACCGAATAGGTTTGACCAAGTAATGTGCTCCTCCCACTGAAACGCGTTTTGTGAGTTGGTTCCACTTATCCTTGACTACCACTAAGCTGACAGCGCGAAAGCAAATAAATCCCTGATAATTTTGCTAAGGGCCGTAAATAATCAGCTGTGTATGCCATTACTAACTTGCCAGGCCGGTGGTTGTGAGAAGGAGGGCACCGCCTACAGCGGCTACAGAGATCACTGTGTCCTTGCACTTGTCAATCGGTCCTGCTGTTGAAAAAAAAGGAGTGAGTGAGTGAGTTGGACTTACTGCTGCTTTGATGAAGAAAATAAACGTGGCATTGAGCATATATAAATTGTATGTCATTAAAGAGAAAAAAAAGGTTTTGTTCTCTAACTTATATTAAGAATTAGTATGGAAAGAGCACATGACAACATTTTCAAGATTTTCACACATTCTTCACATCTTTATGAACCGTCCTATAACATGAATGCTCCTCTATTCCTATTTATCCTCGGAAATCTTCACTGTCGTAATCTAGCAATGTCTGGTTAAATGATCTAACGTATCAGTGCCTTATATACTTGATATTCATAAAAAAACAAGATTATCAATTTCACGCTTTTAATCATATCATTGATAAACGTGTTTTATTCCACCGTCATAATAATACAATGTTTACCTGATGTTGATGGGGGGACAGGTGTTGTGGTCGTCGGCACCGTCTCAACTACAACTAATACCAGGCGCTGTGTCAGTATCAACATTAGTAACTGCAACACACTTCGCAGAAATCAAATTCAGTTACTTACTTTGAAGTTTGCATTTAGGATGCGTTCATAACTGAAATCATGTGGTAAAACGTTTAATTTCCAGTGCAGCAGATGCAATTTGTGTCATTGGTAAAATATGTCTCTTTTAACGTGGAGAAAACGTAATCAACAATTGCTAATTCGACTCTTACTTCGCCTGAACATAATTTCTTTAAGAAAACTTAGCTCAAACAGAATTTTGTGTGTATTTTGTTGATAATCGATATGAACATTGTACCTGGAGATGTGACCCTACTCTTACAACATGTCAGCCAGACGTCATTGTCATGAGAACAGTTTGCAATGGATGACAGTCGACATTCATTCAGGGTTGTCGCCCCTGTTAAACAAGTGACGTCCCCGAGATGAATGGGTTGGACACCTCCACCTCTCATCGAATATTCGCCATATCTGTAAAATATGGACATAAAAGGGGGAATTGTATTTTATTGTCACATACAATTGAAAATACATGATTGTAGTATTTGAAAGAGGACCGTACATGTTCTTCATAGTATTGTATCCATGACCAACATCGCTTTGGGACCGGAACGCGTGCTAATACTAAAGCCATACGATGATCGGTTTATGTAACGCAGTGGTGACCTCCTCTAGTTATGCCGACATGGTTTTACAGAAAGCACTGATTCTCATATTCAGTTATCATAGATAGTAAAGCTATTATTACCGTGCATCACACTGACATAAGAATTCAAACCAAATCAAGAAATAAGTAGAGAAGTTCAATTGTTATGACCGAGGTTTCGCAGTCAGTAGATACGCACTGATACCTCAGCAAATATATCCACACATCAGATGCCACCTATATTGCTTTCGTATGAAATAGTTTGAGGAAACATGCGAATCGATGTCATTTTCAGCTGGATGATTCTAGTAGGTGTATTTCAATATCCAGATCAATCACATTTGAACGTCTATCAATAACTTCATATCTTCGGGAGATGTGGACACACATGTGAAGATCTGCAGATGCTATATTCACTCATTCAGGGGATGCAACTCTGGAAAGAGAAACTCGGCGGTACGCCTCGATCAGTGCCGCATAGTGGTTTGCAAGTTTAAAAAAAAAACCATTGTATAAAACGCGAAGAATCAGTGTCAAAAGACTACTGTGCCCTGTGTATCAAGCAAGGTGTGTTTTAAGGAACCTGAATACATACGGGTATCCCATCATGCCACAGACAACTTCCGTTTCCGCCGAAGTCCAGGTCCTGCCACAGACAGTACCCCAAGATGACGTTCCTTTCAACTGGACTTGTAGGCGACCGCTGACACACCTGAAGCAGGAATACATCTTAATTTGGCTTTGGAATCATATGTATCAAATATTACGCATGTCTAGTGCATTCTGAATTTTTTCTTAGCCCATCCCATATCTTATTGCAGCAAAATATTTTCTGATTTGAGGAACCGTTGATAGTTTATGTCTAGAAGAGCTGATGGTGATTTAAAGTGGGGAGCATTTTGTTAAAGGAGGTATGGGGGATAATCAATTTTGTACATGACACTCTGTACATAGATGTTAGAGGAGATCAATCACATTGTACTTGCTTCTGCATAAAACTCATCATCACACCCCCACATTCCCACAGCGATAAATTATGAACGGTCCTTAAGAGTAAGAACCTCACATGGCGACAAATGGACTAACAGAAATAGTTCTGTTCTGTTTTGACTCTAAGAAATTTAAGATTGCTCTGAAATATCAAGTCCAACTATGTTAGATGTTTCGATGTTTTCTTGAATTATTGTTTTGTCTTTATTGTTTTGTCAGTCACAGTTAGACATCCCGTTTTCAATTCACGAAAACTGTCCATTTCAGGAACAATTTTGTGATTCATCTCAGTTTCTCCTACGATACATATCTTGGCCTGCTTCTTTTAAATATGAGTTAATGGAAAAGAGATTGCAAAAGCACAGTATTTGAATATTTTAACGTATGCTTCCAGCATCAGTAGTAACTGAGTATAATTAGTAACTGAGCGCAATAAAGCATGTAGATTTCGTTTCGGATTTGTCAATAAGTATATTAATTCGGCTACCAACGTCGCATTGGCTGGACTGGAGTTTTATAAGCATAAAGATGAAATAGTATGCTTACAAATATTTCATATCTATTATTAACTGCTATCCATTATGAATGGAATGGGCCATTCGAATTATTGTGCTATTTAACCTGTTGCCATCGTTCTGATTGACGCCTGGCTTAGCTATGAATGTGTTAAATATTTGGTTAAACCTAGATTGTAGAAGTTGGTAGTGGTGCACCAGCTCATGGCCGTTGAAGAAAGCCCATGGGAATGAAGTAAGGACTTTAGTTTCAACAAGGTTAAATTTGTGCCGATCAAATATGTTAAACGTGTTTGTTCCTGAGGACACCGTAATATATTAGCTGATCTTCAATGTGGGTCACTTCCACTTGAACCTGAACATACACTCGCTTTGTAACCCCGTTAACAGTGTAAACAATGCAACTTAAAAGGTGTTTGACAACAACATATTTCCAAGAACTATGTTGAGCTGATAAGATGCGGTTTGAGGAATTCATCCTGCTTGACTGCAATGATTTTTCCATTACAAGGGATACATATTTTAATGTCAAAACAATTAAGGATTTTTTTACAAGGTTAATTATCACTTAATAATAGAATTTTTATGAATAATATGTTTTGTAAATAGATGCATGGTATTTTAAACGTGCTAGTATGAATTAGCAACTGCGATTGTTAGTGGTTGTATCCTCAAAGGGGGTTAAAGTATCGTAAAATTATTGTCCTCCTGAGAGGGTACGTAAGTCCCCAAAACTTTCAAAGTCAATTTCGCTCAACCATACTTTTTAGTCGTAGTACTTTTGTTAGTTGAACTTTCGGCAAAATCTTCCTACCATCGCCAGCGGCTAAGGGATGGTGGATATCCAGCTAGGTCCCATGCATGTAGCAAAAGTAATGTAAGTCCCCATGGTTCCTGGTGAGGTGATCTACCTTCAGTTGTTGGCGATAGATAGCCCGTGTTTTATATTGTATTTTCGTCTTTAATTAAAATGTTTTAGTTTTACATGCTAGTTTTATGTTCATATCTGTGATACTCCAGTATTCTTACTGTCCATCGTTGACAGGTTTTACACTTCAAAATGTTTTCATGTTTTATTGTATAAATTGTTTTCGTCACGATATGGCTGAGATATTGCCTATGTGACGTTAAATATTAACTCACTCACTCAGGAATTCATGGGAAAGGACATTCCTACCTGAGAAGGATTATGCATGCATTGATAATCACTTGATAGACTAGCCCAACACATTATGACTTTCAACATAGATATCCAGAAGGTACTCATCCATTTAATGCAATAAATTTAAAAATAGTGAAATCTGTGTGATACATGTATATATGTATATATGAGCGACACCCTGGTTATTGTATATCTTACTGTCATTGTCGTTAGGTTATATTGACTCTAATTTATGGCTGAAATATTGTTGACGTGGCTTTAGATTTTAACTCACAACGTTTCTCCGCCATTGTAATTACTTTGTTTTGATTTTCATTATTTAGTTAATTTGAGGATACAAATGTTAATTACATGGCATTCTTTTATAGTATGTTTCAAGTGTTATCTCAGATATAACATGTTTTACCACCAACTGGCCACAACATATGTTATGTTTGGGATTACAGTTTTTCAGTAAAGTACAGATTCTTGTACTTTTGTTGGGTTTGACCACTTTCCAAATGGCATTGTGTGATCACAGCTGCATGTTGTCATTATATTTACATTTTGTTTGAACAATTAGTTCTTTTACGTACTGATTTCCAGGTCACGCATAGATTCAGCTTGTAAGTCAACACGATACGGCCAACATGAATGTAGATTGATCAGGTTAATTATATATTATTCACACTTTGCTAACGATCAAATAATTGATTCAACGGGAAACTATGATGTGGGGTCAAATTTGGTTTAGATATCTAAGCCGATTGTAAGCATGGTTCCAAGTTTTCAGTATGTCACTGCATCTTGTGGATCCCATACCTGTTATTGGCAGGTGTTGTGTACTTGTCAGTGAACCGTGCCGTGATTTGCAAAATGGTTGATTGGTGCCATGAAAACCATTTTTATGGTTACACATGTATCAAGTGCATACGGTTTCCTTAAAGTGGCTGATTTCCTAAAGATGTGTTACCATATCATTATTTATCCAGTTTTAAATGGATACAATTTAAAATTATAAATCTACGTGTAAGTAAAGTTTTTGTGTTCCTCAGCAAAGTGTGAGTAGTATATCTATGAATGGATCTCCTCTTGCAAACATATTATTTGTCTACTTTACTTGAAAGAAGCAGCACATTGTGCTGTTATTGCCTTTTTGTTCAGCGGCAAATACAAGGTCTATCTTACCGAAAGAACTGCTTTGGGATATTTTAGGCAAGTGTACCAAAAATTGAAACTCAAATAAAAACAACCCGACAATACGCAATGTTATCATGTTCTTCAGGACTACGACACGCATAACGAAATCTAATAGCTCTTTTGACCTACCCATCTTTACTTCTATCTTCATCAGCTAGCGTATGCCTTTCAACAATTGTGGGACACATATCTGCAAATCAAACCTTCGTATAAGATTGTTACTACATTTAAGAAATTATTATTTTATTTCAATGATGACATATACTCTTCAAAAACCGTTGGGGAACCTGAACTGTCAATTTGGATAGGAAGTATAAGCGTGAACAAACCTTACACAGACAGACATCTTATGAGTGAGTGAGTTTAGTTTTACGCCGCACTCAGCAATTTCCCCGCTATATTGCGGCTGTCTGTAAATGATCTGGACCAGACAATCCAGTGATCAACAGCATGAGGATTGTCTGGTCCAGATCATACAACAGCCGCAATAGCATGAGCATCGATCTACGCAATTGACATGTGTCAACCAAATCAGGGAGCCTGACCAGCCTATCCCGTTAGTCGCCTCTTACGACAAGAATGGGTTAATGAAGATAAATTCCAACCCGGATCATCACGGGTTCAGACAACTTATGAACGCACCACTATTCTCTTTATCACCACCCATAACCACAATGGGATGCATGTGCACAACGCAGTAGCCCCATGCACGTGCATGAGGTGTCATTATTGATTCCTATAGTGATATCTTTTTTATGATAGCTTACTAGTTTTAAATTAAGAGCTGTGATACTCTGGTAGTTTTACTGTCCTACGATGACAGATTTTTATGTTCTAAATTTATTGATTTTAATGTTGATATAAAGTATTACTCCCTCACTCACTCATTCTTGATTCTGACGGTTTTCAAGAAGGTCGATAAATCACTATGGACCATTGATTTTGACAATCCATCTTGCATCACACAGTTGTTAGTGTTTGTTTCTAGTTGTTGTTTTTGTTTGAAAATGATCATCGTACACATGCAAATGTCACGTAGTACACCAGTATTCTTTCAAGAGCAAATACTGTACAACAACTATATATGGTCATAAGGAAGTGCAAGTAGTGAAGCACTCACAAAACATTCATTAGTATCATATCAACATTGACTGACTCCGAATTTATCTCCCAATTTTTCATTCCTAAATAAAAACTTCCGAAGATTTTTAAGAGTATTTAATCTAGGTATAGTTTTATTCAGTGACCAACAGTACAGTATTGTCTGTCTGACCAGAGTCACTGATAATATGTATAATAGATATTATAGTACTTATAGAAATTAGAAGATCAATAAAAGTAGAAAGAAGGCCCTCGCCCAAAAAGAAACACCGTAGGAAATTTGGCAAAATTTAAGAGTAAAATATAGTCGTTCGACTGACAAAGATAAATAATACTATAAGAACTATTGATAATACATTTAGGACCGTGTTTTCTCCTCACCTCACCTCTTACTCTCTCTCTCTTTCTCTCTCTCTCCTACTCTCTCTCTCTCTCGCCAAAAGAGGACACTCGTCAACAACTACATGATGCTCATTTTTAAAATCATTGGTATGTTTACACATCAACATTTTCATCACTGTCACTAAACACATATTTTCTGCCTAACTGACCACTCCAAAACAAAGTTAAGGTTCCTCTCTGTTCATGAGATTTAATATTCAACATATTGTTCGTAACATGATTGCCGTTTCTTACCTCTCACTTGTACAGTAATGTCCTCGCTATTAACAGATGCCAATCGATGGTTAGCTCTGCACATGTATTTACCAGCTGTACTGGTGTCCACATTGCACATCCGCCAGTTGGGTCTGACGTCACGACATGAAGAACTAGGGATTACAAATTTCCCATCACGAACCCACGTGATGTCTGCTGGGGACACGAGTGGGTAGGAGTTGACATAGCACCACAACATCACATTAGATCCCTGGTAGAAACCGTAGTGATTGAATTTCACCAAGACTGTTGGCGGATCTGAAAATGCAACAGCTTAAACACGTTATAACAAAACATGTAATAGGGTATAATCCACGGTCCTCACAAGGCGCTAACACACGATGTATTGCTCTTGGTAGATGTTTTATATGCATACTTATATGTATCTTTATTGACCGCAAAGCTAATGCAACGGTAAATATTTGCGCTAAAATATAGAACTATTTCTATAATTAAAATCCTTACAGCTACCAGTGAAAAATTGTGATGTAATGTTCAAGTCCATATGTAATATATATATATATAGAACGTCATACTAGTGCATTTGGATGTTTTGTGTTGAACTCGAAGATTTCATGGGAGCAGAGAAACAACGACTACGAGGAACGAGTTGTTTCTCTGCTCCTATTACGTCTTCGAGTTCAATACAAAACATCCATATGCACTAGTATGACGTTCTATATTTATTGCATACCCTCTTATCTTGCATTAATCTGTTACTTAATAAAACAAATCACAGCGTAGCAATATGGAACCGGTAGGAATCTGTGGTGCAATATAAAAACAATTAGGTGGGAGTTTATTGTTTCATTATCCACAGCATCAAATAAGCTCTCTTCCCTTGTGAGATGCTGTCTGAGATCAACCTGAGGCCATTGCCATACATAAACCGGTAGAACCCGGCGGGAGGGTGCTAATATGTCCACATTGCTCCAGTCTGACTGTGGAACAGGTGTCTGCGGATAGAGAAGGGCGAGAAATATGTCTACGCAGGGCGCATTAGAAAACAACAATAATAATAAATCGGGAGATCGCGGTATGATTAATGTGGAAGCTCTTTATGATTCTATTGTGTACTTTCGCACATATTTATTTGTTGGATGATCCTTTAGTGATGCATGTCAAGACTCACGATGTAAGCAAGGAGCTCCACAGCAATTTTAAGCGTGCCAAGGTTGATGGGCAGAATCTGAAATTTGAGGTTGATTTTGTTGATGGCGGTGTATTTGCTGGACGGCACAGCCATGGGAGTAAGCCAGGTGATATACTTCACCAAGTCTGCTTATAGAGTCGATCACGTTCTGAGAAAACACTGCAGTACCGACTCACACACACAGTATATCTTGATGGCATGGCTCGTTGCTTCTACTATGGTTTCCGCCTTGACACCGAGGTCCATCCATGGTACGACCCTGAACATGCATATGTCCAGGGCGTCATGGAAAATCATGCTTTATAAACTTCTTTGGAATAGGCCCATATAAAGTCTGAAAAATTCCTAGCATCAAACCTGATCTTGTCCTTTGTAATAAAGCCAATGAATTTATTTATATCATTTTTTTCTCGCCCTTATGACGGCAATGTGATTGGCAAGATTCACTAAAAGCATGCTAAATTTACGGACCTCGCCTTTGAAACCTCTCGTTTACATCTCCAGTACGCAGTCGTCACGTTCTCCATTGTTCTCGGTGCCCTCGGTTTGGAACCTCCTGATCTCTTGGTGCAGATCAGGAGAGTTCCTTGGTACTCCATCGGGAGCACAGCCCTTTTGACACTCTGGGTAATGCAGAAGGCTGCAGTGTTGGGGAATCTACATATTCTCCTGAATGTTCTTTGTGGGTTCAACAAGGCAGCGTTGTTTGGGAGAAGTCCCGTTCGCTGTCTGGGCTGCGTGTACAGGGGGAAAGGGCCCTGAGCTGATGATGCGCCTTACCAGCCTGACTATGCCAGGATCCCCCGAACTCTCTGTGGTCCATTTTTTATCTTACTTTGCAAGACATATAATAAGATCACATATATAGCAGTGAACTCCATGCCCCTGCAATTTTGCTCAAATGTTACGTCAGCCAGACAACCACATTCGGCTGACCCATCTGAGCAATCGATTCGAGACTGCTTAGCTGCAATCGGTTCCAGGATTGCACTGAACCGACTGAGGGGCCTCGAAGGCCTGCAATACGTCCAGTTTTGCTTCAAAGTCACCGACAGGCACGTCGTGCTTAGTGTATACAGCATCTATGGTACAGGAGATTGGGATGGTATTTTGTTCACTGACGAGTCTCGATTTCATCTGGACAGCTCAGATGGCATGGCAAGGGTGTACAGACGATCAGGTGAACGGTATGCTGACACGTGCGTTGTTAACCGTCGACAGTTTGGTGACGGCTACGTTTTGGTATGGGGAGGTATGGTATGCTACCTCACAAGTCGACTAATAGCCGTGTGGTTAAAGTTGAAGATGTTGCGAAAGGACATACCATCAGAGCATAACTTGTCATTGCGCATTTTCTTAAAGTCAACGTCCTGGCATGTTAAGAAAAGTCCATTTTTAGTACTGTCCTCTTTTAAGTCAGTTCAGAAACTTGTAGTGCATACAGTTGTTATGATATGTGGCAACCACGCGATCTATAGCGTTTGAGACATTTTGTGAAACATGTTAGGGTATGGGCACCTGCGTTTGGGGGCCCTTGGAGACACGTGCCCTTAGATTCTGGTGGTCCTTAATCATCGCTCATGTATATTGTAGGTGCCAAGCATAAATGAAACTGACTTCTGAATGTTCATCTGACCAATTATTCATGAATACGAAAATGGATTGCACTGAAGCTATTATGGTACCTGCTTTGTTGTACACACACACACACACATGCACACGCGCGCACACACACACACACACACACACACACACACACACACACACACATATATAGATACAGATGAAAAGAGGTTTCGCAATACCAAAGTGTCATGACAGGCCCTATATTTAATAACAGTTTATAGGTCATGTGCGTCTTCCTAGGAAATTATTTTGTAACCAAAATGCTAAAAAAGACTTTTCATCAACAGAAAACCTACAAAATAAGGAAATTGAATGGTGTAATTTGATTAAACATGGGTCCTGCAATAAAACTGAAATGAAGATAGAAGTATGACCATCCCAAACGGGTATCACGATGCATAGTCCTAATTCATACACCCAATCAGTTCCAGAAACAGAAGACAGAGTCATTATCTTTTATATCCTCGGCCCACATGGATGACATTTTGAACCCTCGTCGTCATTGGGTGCACAAGACGCTGAATCTGGTGTTGGGGCAACCTGTTCCGTTCTTGGTGCAATTTTGATTCATCAAGTTTCTGGACTGGTGGATCTCTGTCGAACGTTTCACCCCAGAATGTCTCAAACATGCCCGATCGGGTTGAAATCAGGGCTTCCGGCTGGTCTTGGAAATGTGGTAATGACATCTTGATGCAGGTAATCAATGGCTGCACGTGCGCGATGTGGCCTGGCGTTGTCATCCATAACGATTGGCCTTGTTTACAGGGGATGATTATCAAAATGATGCACTACATGGCTCCTCAAGGCTTTATCTTGGTATCTTGTTCATTAAGATTTTATCTCACTGTGACAAGCTGATGTTTGCAGTCATATGGCATATAACCCCATACCATCAAATGGATCTTCCCCCAAGAAGCCAGGTTCCACCGATGCCAGTCCCTTCACCACCGTAATATTGCATCCATGTGGGCAGGTGTCAACTATGGTCGTCGGACGGGTGTCCTGGCCTTATACCTTGCTGTTTTTAGTCGATGTCTAACAGTTTTATGACAGAGTGGCTGGTGTGGCAGCCATGGCCGTTTTAGCATTGGACTGTAGCAAAGGGAAATCGGCGAACAAGTCTACGTTGGACCGCGTCTGGTCTAGCTGATGTCTTGTGTGGTCTGCCCGAACCAAGCAGACCCTTTACATCGTTTGTTTGGTGATATTTCCTCACTAATCGACTGATTGTTGAGGGGTCGGTGACCTAACTGCCTGGCAATTTGTATCATGGACAACCCCGCATTAACCATACCTTTAACTTGCCATCTTTTGGCTGCCGTTAGTTTGAGGGGGCCCCATAGAGTGGTTTAAGACAATAAGTATGTGTTTTAGCTCAGGTTTCTAACAACAGTAAATGATAATTAAAACTGTATTTTCATGACACGAGAGGTGCAAGGATCATATGTTCCACACGTGTTAGATGTAGAGCATGCTTCATGATTTGTTGCGTTTGAGACACGTAATAGGTTATTGTTTTCATTTATTATCCTAATGTTATTATAGTACTATTTTAAGACATTGAGAGAAAAAAGTATTAGGTGTTGCGATTCTTCTTTCCACGTGCATATTACAGTTTGTGTAACACTTTCATGTTGCGACTAAAATTCCCATTGACTGGTGTAATAAAATAGAGTATTTTCATCCATCGGTCTACTTACATTCTACTGTGACATTGATGGGGTCAGACTGACTGTCGCCGACACCATTGACTGCTCCACACGAGTATATCCCAGCATCCTCACGTTTGATGTCAGTGATTGTCAAACTTGGGTTGTATATATCACCGTTATCATACCGACCAAAGTGAGGGTCGAGATGGACGCCATCTTTAAACCAGTGGACAACGGCGGGACTGGGTTTAACGCGCATATCCACAGAGCAACCTAAGGATGAAGTTTGTCCTTCTACCAACATTATGTCTCTTCGAGGCACGTGGACGTCAGGCCGAGCTGAAATGCAATCACTATTCATAAAACTGTCAATGAAAAACTATATATTCTCCCTCTATAGACCAAACTATTAATATGTTCTACTCTCCCTCCAGACCGTCAGATGAACACGCCCCCTCCTATTTATGAAGATGGGTAAGGGGCAGATGCAGGGGATATTTCATTCATTGCTCCCTATCAGCTCATGCAGATTTAACAACACAGTGTCTTTATTGTTTGATAAACAATATGCCCCTCTCATAATGGTGCCTTTCAACAAACCATTCGCCAACCGTTGCTAACCGTCTATGAAACTAACCAAATGGATCGTACATACTCTATACACCAGGGCATTATATTTACTCTGTCATTTGTCTGTAAATATTCCAAATGAAAACAACTATGTGACATACAAACACGTTCGTAGTAAATTTTTCCACGAATTATCATTCATCACAACTGACGGACGTCACAGTGAAAGCAGAAAGCAGACTCACAGAAGACATCCAGTGTGATCATGCAGCCAGCTTTCCCAACGACGTTCTCAGCTTCACAGGTGTAGTCGTCGTCATCAGTTCTCAGAACTGGGGAAATTGTCAGATCAGGTGAAGATACGGTTCCACCGCTATACCGGGGATTGGATACATCCAGTATAACCCCGTTCTTTTTCCACGTCACATTACTCAAGGATGGCAGAAATCTGACCGAACATTGAAGGGTTAGTGTTCCATTCTCACACGCTGTATAGGTCCGGTTGGGGCAGTTGTCTAAATCTGTGTAGAAAATGCATTATATGTTTTGCATGGGTACATCAACATCTTAGTTATTGTTCCCTACTGAATTATTTCATTCATATCATCAATGACCTTGTAATGTCATTGACAGACCAAGTTGGTAATCAGAATAGACTGCTGATCTCTTCCGAAAGAGAATCAACTTGAAGTCGATATGCAAAGCAGAATCTGGAACATTTTATACCAGACACATAAAAGTTCTTTAGGAACCATAAAATGAAAACTATTGGTTTCATTAAAACTGCACTGTCTGGTTATTTACTCTTTTGTGTTTGCATTGTATTTTCTGTTGGATTCCATACAGAACTTAATCGACATATGTCACTTTTCCAAGAATCGTTTCGTTTCCGGTTGAATTCCTATCTGGAAGGATGTACTTAATTAGTCTGCACAGTTGTAACATGCACTCATTCACAAGCTCATCCCACTGTGCACCCACTGACAGTGGGAATGGTAATACCTGACTAATGCGAGGGTCGGATGTTCTGTGCCCTGGATGACTTCTAACCCGTACGACACGGTGCCACATAATCAATAGCAGGCTAATCATATGGCACTTAATCACACTCGTAAGTTTCATCTCAAAATATTTTCATGTTTTTTTTAAATCAGAGATACAATATTTGAAGTTGCATGAATTAAGTTTTCATGTTGAAAGGGCATGCGCGGTGAGAGATTCAAATTCACACACGAGCGTTCGTTTACACAACGTCTTACATTGTTTGCGTATTTTCTCTGTCGATCTATTTGACTTTCCAGATATATTTCAGATTAATATCCAAATTGAGTATCCGGATGTACCTATACTGCGCTGCAGTGATCATCCAAAGTTTACCACTTCGAGGTCGATCTTGCATAGAATTGGTTTGTTGATATCGGTCCCATAAACCACTGGTGGTGAACATTGTAGTGACGTACAACGGCAAATTGAGACTCCCCATTCGTGACCCACGCGTGTTAATCCGGGACAATAGGCCGAATTGCGACTCGTGTTCCCTTGGAAGGATGTCATATTAACTACTTTAAACAGGAACGACAACGGCACTCGAAAATTACTGCTTTAAAAAATAAAAATTACCTGTTAAATAAATAATAATAATTTGTTGAATACACGTTCTTATGTAATTATTACCAACTGTTCACTTAATATTCCCAAATACGCCTTACGAATCGCACATGATCTTTTTTCTTCCTGAATAGGTAATTAAAATAATATGTAACTGTCATAAGGGAAAAATAAATACACAAAGATTACTTTAACATATATCTCGAACTGGAGAATCTCTGGAGAATCCTATCATGAATTATTGTACGCGGTGTCAACCAGTTCACTGAACTTGCATGTAACCTTGTTGCCATACCCCAGGTGGAATTTATGATGAATACGATGACAAAATATGCCAAATGAAGTGAAATGCATGCACAGTGATTGAGTTTTAAGTTGATTAGTTATACATAAATATATTGTTTTGCACCTCATGACTACTTCTTATTGCATTAACTAAGAATGTCGGACGCGCACGTAGAATCTCCAAAACATGCCCCGCAAATTGCTGTTATATAAATAAACGCACAAGCGTGTATTTGAATCTTTGAGTCAGTCGCGTTATCCTTATTAAAAAGTGCACATGAGGCAAAACAATTCCGTTAGCTACGTTCCTTGTACTTTCACTGTGATGATACATATTTTTCATGATCTTCTAATCATAAACGATTTAAGAACCCGGGATTATTTTATGAAAGCCAGGCAATCAATACGCGCTTTCTGATTGGTTTGTCGTATTATCGCACATAACAAGCATCGAAACGGGGACGAGTCTTCTTGGAGGTTACGGAAAAGGGGGAGTGGTGACGAATGTGAGACTCCCCAGCCTCCAGACGTCCAATGTCAATGTTTCCACTAACAACGTCGCTGCATAACGATATTCTTTCATTCAGCTTAAAATGCCAATGGCCGCCTAAATGCAAAACGGCCCTCATAAAGGCAAATTTCCTGCTCACGATTCCTCAGAACTGCATGTGCATATTTCGAACCACGTTTTCTGCATGACATTTTCATGGAAGGTGACACTTACGAACGTAAACGTGAATTAAAGTTTCCGAAGATGCATTTGTTCACTGTGAATTGGTTCCATGTACACAAACAAGTATTATAATGGAGAACTTACATTCAATCAGAAATCTCGTATATCAATATCACCTTTGCGTTTCGATTTTCGGAGAGTATATGAAGTTCTTTTAATGAGTACGTGCAGAGTGGTTATTTGCAGAATGTCCGTCTTCAGTTGGAGTCTCTCCGTTTAAGTCATAATCCACGAAACAATTCAGGTAGAGCAGACACGTCCGGCATCACTTTCACCGTTGCAGTTGCAAGTGAGATTCGCTTCAGAACATCTTCAGTAACATTTACATCTGCCAACGCTTAATTCGCAAGTGGTGAGGCAATACGCTAATGAGGCTAAGGGTCCTGAACCATGTTTGTGAAATATCTATGATGCCTTATATGAAGTCTCTAATCTAAGCAAGTCTAGCTATGTGTGGCTTTAAATCACTGCTTGAAGAAAGGCTCCTTTAGAATTTTGTTCGGTAAATATTAGCATTTCACTGGCTTAATCATATTGGAAAACACATGGCAACCTATACTTCATTGTGACTATGATTAAGATCACTGTAAAACACAAGGGTTATTTCCTTTGAGTTAACTGACAGGCTTTCGGTATCAAATATTTGGAACTCCGGCCCAAGGTGATGTTATGCTGTCTGGAAATATAGCGTTTTTGTAATGCTTTGGTTGCACTTAATGATAAGTGATTGTTAAATGTACATATGACGTTTTTGAAGGATAATCTCAGTTGACTCAGAGACTTTGCACGTGTTTTCCCCCACTCTTTCCACACCCATCCTTCAGTTTTTATGTTTGTGACATGATCTGCACACTGATAATTTAAAACAGGTATATAAATAATAACTGTTTGCAATCTTTACCCAGTTTAGTTTTCCAATTTTTTAGCAATTTTCAGTTTCTATTATTTTCTGGAAATTTTGTACGGAGGTGCATTTAACAGTTTCACCCAATAACAGTAAAGCATACAGATAATACGTTTCGGTAGTTTGATAGGTTAATAGGTTTACATTATATTCCATGATATTGGGATGCCAAAATGATTAACATTATTATATAATGTATAACAAATCAGACAGCAAAAAGCAAAATTTAAAAACGCATGAGCAACATAAATAATGTCAGGTAGTTAGCTTTCAATAATTACAGAAACTGCTTAGTTATCTAGCTTTATGAACTAATTGCAGTCACTAGAGTTTTCTATATTTCTATAATCTACCCCAGAGATGGAAATTTGAGAAAACGTCCGTATAGGACAATATCTGTATTCCGAATCAAAAAGAGGCCATCCCAAGTAGTGGTGTAACGATTCATCGATAGTATCGATGTTTGCATTGTCAGCTATGCGATACGAATGCATCAATACAAAACACATTTAGGCAATACATCAGGATATTTATATCGCGAGGGTCCAATGATACATCGATGTATCGCCACAAGAGACGATATATCCCGATACTACTTAAGTACTACTTAAAGTTGTAAGGAGTATTGCATTAGGAATAGGAAGGGAGTCTCTTTCAAATCCTTCTGAAATTTAAAAACAAATTGAGCCTTGTAGGAATTTGTTTATATCTGTTACATGAACAAAGGAGTTGGTGTAGAAGTGAAAGAGTGTGAACATGTTTCAAACTCTGTGAACTGTACAATACTTGTCTTCAAGTAATTGAAATATGCTTTAGTTGTTTGACACATAACACCATTTATTCACAACTATGAATGATGTCTTAGCTTTGTTAAGAAAGAGAACAAAGATAAGATACAATTTAGACAGCAGACTTAAGAGTTTTTTTCAGTGATTCTGAATTCTGATATAAATAACATTGAATTGTTTGTGAAAGAATTGGTGTAGAAACATAACTTCCCAAGGAAACTTCAGTTTCAAATTCATTTTCAGGCGTGCTGAACATGTTTGACTGAACCTTCTTCAACATGAAATGCTGAAATTGTATTAGCTCAACAGCTTTTCTTTTCTTTTCTTTTTTTTTTTTGTGTGTGTGTGTGTGAATGTAACACAGGTTTTAATGAATTTATAACTATTTTAAGTCACGATATGGCTGAAATATTGCCACTATGACTATAAACTTAAACTCACTCACTCACTCATGATATATCGTCTCGCCTCATTAAACTGGTATCAGAACATATGGTCTCCCCACTTAGGCTACGAAACACAGCTCTAATACCAAGTATGTGCATATAAACACATTTACAACTGTTACAGAAATTTACATCGGGAATCATTAATACATTGTAATCATCCTTTTTGAAAGTATAGATAGCTATGATCATGAGTATGATAACTCATACAAGTGTGCACTAAAATTAGGGACCTACCGGTTCATGTCTGTGTGAACACACCTGTCTGTGTTTTATTGCAATAAGCAGTCTCTTCTTGTATGTCATACATGAGAAGTGTACCTAAGGTCAGTTATTTAATCTATAATGTAATTTCCATTGCAAAAAGTATAAACAGTATTACCTACTGATCAGAAAGGCTTATCAGTACCCCACCGCCACCACCCCAGCCTATGCCTACCCTATCCCACACCCTCTTCCTCTCACACACATGCACACACGTGCACACACTCCCTAACATACATATCGCTCTGGCCCATAGACCCAATATTTGAACCTTTTAAACAGACATCATGTGTATGTCAAGAAAGGCAGGCACGTTAATAGTGGTGCTCAGTATCACTTCGCAATGTGTTTCTAATGATCTCCGTGCATTATGGCGTAGTCCGACTCGCTAACGAACCCGATGTGACAGTTACATTACTGAACCATTGAAATACATGTTAAAGTAGTGTTAATCATGTAACACTATATTTACCAAATACCAACGATTTACGCGTGTACTAAATATATGACAAACCTAACCCTGGTCATACGAGATTTCAAAGGTATTAAAATGCATGTCCTACAATCACAGCATTTACATATGTTACACATGCTAGAAAACACATGAAAACAATGGCCAGATTTACACACCTGTGAAATACATGTAAATACAGAGTTGAGTGTTCGTTTATTTTAACACCCCTTTAAACGTGTGTAAATCTGACAGCCAGATGATACGTATATTTCAAACGTTTGTTCATATGGACGCCGGATGAAACGTATATTTCCTAACGTTAGTAAATTTGGGTAATATAGTCATTTTGTGTGGTGCTATGAAGTCACAATGGTCTGCAAAACACTGTGATAGGATTTCACTGCACCTATGTCTCTTCGGTTGATTTGTTGGTTTGTTGTTTAACACCTCACTCAGCAATATTCCAGATATATGGCGGCGGTATGTAAATGATAAAGACAATCCAGTGATCAATATCATGAGCATTGTTCTAAGCAATTGGGATACGACGACATGTGTCAACCAAGTCAGCGAGCCTAAACACGTACCCGATTCCGCTAGTCGCCTCTTACGACAAGCATGGGTTTCTGAAGACCAATTTTAACTCGGATCTTTACGGGTCTGTCTCTTCGGAGATATTTCTATATTTCAAAGCAAGCGATATCTCCTGTTGAAGCCTGTTGATAGATGACGGAGGTGCAAATAACTGCAGCAAAACGTCGCACAGTTCTTTTCATGGGTGCACGAATAAAAACTTTGACATTTGTTGTTTTTATAAGTAGGAAAAATATGGAAAATATCAGCACGGACTATCAATTATCCAATTGAATATTTGCAATTAGCATTACAGCCAATTGTTGAAAATGCAATATTTAACATCTGTGCGTAATCCATAGGAGCACAATTTCACCACAATATTGTCTTGTCAGTACTTGTGTGTCACACAAACTAATATCCGTGAGGGTCAACGGAATACGACCTTGCAAAAAAGAGATACAAGAGAGCAGGAACAATATACATGGTACATCCACTTCATCAAATAAAGTAATCAAATTCATGAACTACTTCCTAACAATATGCGATTACAAACAGCTGACAAACGAATCACGTAAACTACTTACACTGTACGACAACATTGACGTTGCAGCTCGTTTCATTCACAACAATTCCGACATCGTTTGAAGCAGTAAGGGTATATATACCCGCATCGCGACGGGTTATGGCCGAAATGTTCAACGACGTGTTCTGATAGCTGTTGCCTCCTGTGTACCGGTCCCCAGTCCTGTTGACCGGGGTGCCGTTGAGTTTCCAGTCTACCACGTTTGGTGGCATGACGGCGTCGATGGCGGCGGAGATTGTGATTGAAGAATGCTCGACGACCTCCAGTGTTGTGTTTGAGAGAATAATAATGCATTCGGGGCGATCTGTAAGCACAAATCTGACCTTTTCAATTCAATACATAGCTGATCGCTTAACCCTAAAAATGAATGAGTAGGTACAGTTCATTAGAAACTTCAGGTAACTAATTTATAAAGAAAGCTCAACGGCGACACATGTCGAAGACGTTTATCATTAAGTTAAAATCAATGTTCAACGATATGGAACAGACTTACAAACAGTCATATCCAGCGACGAGAATGAATGAATAAGACGGTTACCTGACTTCAGTATTTATGTGTCAGTTTTATATCATATGTAATCGTAATATGTAAAAGTATTCAACATCTGTAAACACGTTAAGTTAGTTCACTGAGGATGTGTGCACACACAATCACAGTATCATAATCATATTTCAAACTAGATTCCTGATTATATTTATAATCGCCGATTGCTTCAGGCGTTCATATTTCGAAATTCCAAAGTTTACACGCATATGTGTACTGAAATAATGACACAGCGATACTTACAGAGAACTTGAAGGAAGACAACGCAGTCATCTACACCTTCACCCACGGTGTTGTTGGCATGCATTGAGTAAAACCCAGTGTCATGCCGTTGTATGCCATCTATGGTCAGGGATGGGACCGTGTGGTTACCGCCACTGTAGTGAGAATTGTTCCTGGATATGGCGGTGCCGTTCAGGAACCAATCCATAAACGTTAGGGGAGGTAAGGACATCACTGTGACGTTTATTGTAATGCTGCTACCTTCTGTTATCTCGTATGTAGTGGGAAGTAGGAGAGTACAGCTTGGTCGGTCTGACAATGTAAGGTTAGATTTTGCAGATGAAAAATAAATTTCAATTTCAGTATTTAAGACAGAAAAGTAATTATGTTTTACATTGCTGTGTGGCTACCTTCCATTCCGAGTACAGTCTGATATGTAATGGTATTCACTTCCAGACTTCCATGACAGTGTGTATCATTTATCATCAAATACTGAGTACATTTCTTATCATCATCACGAAGCGTTAGAAAATTGAAGGTACTGCAAATGGTAGATAGCATATTCACAGAAAGTAATACCACAGTCATGAAGATATCTAATACCGTGTGTTTACTTTTGAATTGGAGGTCGTAGTCCAAAGACAAATTGTCAAATTACATTGAAAGTTTAACCATATGTCCGGAACGTACACTGAACTGTAAGGTTGGTACGACAGCCTGGAACCGAACGTCCAGTGTCTTTGTTTGTGACACTGATGCTGTAGCTCCCGGTGTCCTTACGGTTAGCGTTGATGAGCGTTAGGGACGGAACGTTGACGTTACCCTGGTGGAAACGTGTGTCATTTCTGTTTATGGAGTTACTCCCTTTGAACCAGTCGACACGTGACTGTTTCGGATAAGTTGTAACATTAACTTCAAAGGTATAAAGTTCCGTCTCATTGATTGTTACAGTGGGTGGGCTGAAGCAGTCTAGCTCAGGACCATCTGTAAATTAACATTACTGTGCATCAAAGACATTGAATATAGAATCATTGTCTGAAGTCGTTATGGCTCAAATTTATTTCTCTCAAACAGTCTGAAGAATAATTCAAAAATAGTTTCAAAAATTATCTAGGACAATACTGAGATAAATCCCAGTCCCCCAATTCCATAATTGTTGTATCTACGCGTGTCACGTAGCATGTCACGGAATTTTCAGATGATGTTTGTTTTCTTTGACCACATCTAAAGTCACCACTTTTAGAGCAACGTACTACATGGATCAAACAATGAAATCTTTACGTGTATCTCCTCTACTTACAGTAGACAGTGATATTACTTGTGCAGTTTGATTTTATGAGCCCACTGACGTTGTTGCTAGCCGTAAAGTTATACACCCCGGCATCATGCCTGAAACATGGACCTATAGTAAGATTTGGCATGGCGGCTGTGCCACCACTGTATCTGGGGTTGGTTTTGTTGATGGGGTTCCCCTGATGCAACCACTGGACGGAGGAGACATGAGGGTGCGCTGATACAGATACATCGAACGTTACACTCTCGTCTTCTATGACCGTCCTCTGTGTGTTCTGAAGTAAGGTACAGATCGGGGCGTCTGGAAAATAGCAAATATGTTAAGGGTTAAAGTTTCATTATTGTTTGCAGATGATGACACAAAGGCAAACACATGTATGTATGCACTCTCATATAAATATATTTTCAATAATTAGTTTATCAACTGATATTCAAAAACTAAATAGCTACCAAACTCAGCAAATCTGTTATTTCATGCAAGCGGGGACATCCAGACAGACGAGTTTACTCAAAAAGACTTAGTTAAACCCATTCAACACAGAACGCTGGAAAACCGGAGTCTCCAGACAACGCAGGCCGAAAAACCGGAGGCCCCAGACACCCCAGGTCAGAAAAATGACACATGTGTATACAGAAAATAATATAAAGCCAAGCCATTTTAAAAGAATTTATTGCGTTAGTTTAAGTGTTAGTTACATTAATGGTTTCCGTCGATATCCCTACTGTTTTGGGTGTGGGGCTTCCGAGACGAAGCCCTACCCTTTAAACAGTAGGAATATTGAACCATGCACCGAGTAAACCATGAATGTAACTTACTTATACTACACTTCCGTTCGAGTTTTGATATTCTTTTTTATTATAAATAAATTTACATTCATTTGAACGGATTTTAAGAAAATGATTAATTATAAATTCCTTTTCTAGCATCTCTCTAGCATCTCCACTCTCATCATCTCTGCTTGAACATGTAAAGCACGAAATATTCAATCCCGGTCGCGAGTATCCAATAAACAAATCCTACCTGGTTGGGGCTGATATTGTAAACTGTTATTGTATAAAATGTTTAGTGTTATATTTAACAGCACATGCGCACTAATTCCCGAAGTTGCTCATTTCAACGCGATAGCTTTCCCGGTCAGCACGATAGCAATTTGAAGTAAGAGCCCTGAGCTTAAATCATGGAGTTTGAAGACTGGAAGAGTTTAACGCAAACTGACTCGTCGCAACATGCATTTGATCCCGACGACAAGGAGGATTTCAAATTAAAGAAGGAACAAGAAGCCCCTGACTTTGTTTACCTTTGTGATTGAAAAGGACTTGAAGCATTTCCAAAGGACTCGTATCCCAACAAACGCCGCTAAAAACACACGATGGTGTTTTACAATTTACGATACTTGGGTTGTCGCAAGGAATACTTGAGTGTGGACAGAAGGAAGGCAGACCAGTGAAGCGTCTGAGGGCCCGTATTACAGACGTGCCTTGGTACCATGTGGCGAGAATAGGATCCGGTTCTCCCAACAGAACCAGGGTATTCTCGCGCTCGAAAAGCTGTTCCCTTAAGTCTGTTGGGCAGATGGCTTCGAGGGAAATCACACTGGCCACTTGGGCAAGGTAAATTTGTAGTTTATTGTCTTCAAGCATAGCACTGAGATAAAATCAATCTTTCACTTACATGATAATGATTACGTACGTCTCTTATAATTATCTGATTTTCTGACAAGAAATTTGAATATATGTTTTTAGGTTACTTTTAGCAACTCGTTTATGGAACGAGAAAATTTGATGAACAGTTTGTCCTGCAGCGCACTGGACACAGAAGCACAGCTGTCCGGGCGTACACGAGAACTTCTTCCGCACTTCTCTCTGACATGTTACAAAACCCACAACCAGCAAATACAGTTGCTCCTCTACCAACGTCAACAACTACAGTAACTACAGCAACAACGTCCACTTCGCCAGAAGGAAAGGCTGAGGATGGCTTAGTCCCGCCAAACAAAAAACTCTTTCTTGTGAAGTGCGCGAACGGATATGCGATCGCTATAACATTTTGATGTCAAGGAATAAACGATGTGTAACCCCTCTTGGCTTGTATGTTTTGCTTAGGACCATAAAGAGTTACAGTGAGCTAATATAGTTAATTTTTTGTGGACGATGCACCTACTGTTTCATATCAAAACACAACAGCAGCCTTTATTGTTGTGTGTATGTTTACTTGAGTCCACCAGATAGCGTCAAAGTCAGTACTTTGTATGGCCACAATTGGCAGCAATTACTGCTCGGCACCGTCTCGGCACAGACTGGATAAGACTGCAATGCAATGGCCAGTTGTAGGCGCGTGTTTTGACGTTGACGTACACGTTGATCAGGTTCGTCCCATAGGTGTCCCATTGGGTTTAGATCTAGTGATCGGGTGACCATGGCAACACATTGACGTAAGAATTGCCGAGGTAGCCATTGTATGTGAAGTAGCGTCGTCAAGCTGCTACAACTTCCTCTGTCGGTCCATAATCGGAAGCATGTGATGTGCAAGGACTAAACGAATGACAAATTAAACCCGCATTCCATTTTATAATGATTGATACCGCATGTTTTTTTCCGCTTACTTGCAAGAGCATTTTGCTTTGCATGTGTTCTTGGTGACGTTTTTTAAGAATATTTCTCCAAACGCTTCTACGAAAAGGGGAAAAGTTGTAATTGCCGCGTTTTGGCGCAGAAGCTGTATACAATCACACAAATATGACGTTTTGGAAAGACATATAACATAAGTCCATATTCTCAAAATCACATATGCGTTTCCTTTTTTTGAAGAGTGTATTTTTAGGAAATTGTTTCGCCGTACAATACCTCTACTATTATTAATATTTTCAGTAAATATAGCGATTTCCTGCTTAAAACGTTCGGATTGACACTATTTAACCAAAAACATAAAAAAATAAACTAGTGCCCAAAAGAAAGTATACAGTTTGTATGACCAAACTTGAAAAGAAAAGAAAAACATATTTAACTGAACATCTGTGTAATATTAATACAGTATTCAATTCTACAGCAAATAAACACCATTTCATTTCATACAAAGTCAAAAGTATCGTTTCACTGACACTGAAAGACACGTGTTATCATAGTCTGAACTTTTACACAAATAAAAATGTTTCTGCAAAATGTCATCAAATGTTGAATCAACAGTGAGTGTGGCCAACATTGGCTTCAATACACGCCAAAACACGTCGACGTATTGATGACGTAAGACGGCGAATGACGTTAGGCTTGATACATTGCCATTCCTCTAGGAGACAATGTTCCAGTTGTTGAGCGGTGACAGGTGGCACTAGTAGTCGTCTGCTTTGTCGATCCAGGTCGTCCCATAAGTTTTCTATCGGATTCATGTCGGGAGAACATTCTGGCCACGGTAGAAAAAACGATGTTAGCCTTATGCAGAATGTCGTCGGTCATTCTTGCTGTATTAGGCCTTGCGTTATTATCGTGTTTATTAACAATGCCACGTGGTGTTTCTGGATAAATGCAACACAACTGGTCGCAAGACTTCATCCCAGTATCTTCAAGCATTCAGGTTGCTATGAATAATCACAAGTCTCGTTTTGAGATCGCCGCAGATCCAACCCCACGATATCAGGCTACCGGCTCCAAACGGTCGGACTTGCTGAAGGCAATCCGGCGCTAAACGTTCACCTACTCGTCTGTTAACACGAGCACGGCCGTCGTTAGTGTAAAGGCAAAACCTACTCTCGTCGGTGAACATCACACGTCGCCAATCACGCATCTGCCAACGTCAAACTCTCCTGGTCCATGTCAACTGAAGAGTCAGATGCACTCCGCGGTAGGGTCGACGTGCTCGAAGACCATATTTTCTTAGTTGCCGGTACACTGTATGTCGACTGATAAGGTCTCCTGTCTTATAGCATCAGTGTGCACGTGCATTTCGTGTTCCATCAGAAAAAAGTCTGCGGTATTTTGGCGACGTTTAGGAGATTCGTTAATTTGTTTCGCCGTTTGTTCTTGGAAAGGATGGGTCTGTACGTGTGTGACATGGCTCAGTATGTTTTTATCACTTCATTTCTTATATTTGTGAATCTTTATGCTATAGTCTGCGGTGTATAGTTTCCTTTGAGCACTAGTTTGTCTGAAAGATATCGTGCACGAGAACGGTATCCATTGCCGTAATGTGACTGGCTGCATTAGGTAAAGTGCTTCATGTGGACCAATCACGACCCTTATTGCAGTTTGCCGCCACAAAACGTCATTAGGAACCAATTCTTATCCACTACAATCGCTTGTTAGAACTGTAAAAAAATTCGTGGCATGAAAGCAAGAGAAAGTGTCAGAATAGAAGATATAGGGGGCAGTCATTCGAAGCAGCGGCATCTGACCTCCGTCTCTTGTGCCATCAGTATAGAAAAGATAGTAGTTATCCCTCGTTTCAATAAGAGCAAGTTGATAATTTAAATAATGAGTGTCAGCATTTTTCACCAGGCTGTACACCGTTTCTTGGAGAGGTATCTCTGGCATTTTAAATTTAACAATAGTATGTATGCATGCACGCACGCACGCACAAACACAATCATAAAGCAATATAAGGTATCAAAATTGAATAGCAGTACAAATTCAGAATGAATGTAATACAAGAGCAGTGATTTCAGCATTAGAGACAATGATGTTAATATTCACCTCTCAGGAACAGTAATCCAACTTAAAATTGAGTGAGTTTAGTTTTACGCCGCTAATTTATCGAAAGTATTGAAAATCAAAATGAAATTGTAGTTATGGTAAGGTAGATATGGTTTCGTCTTGAAAAAAAGTAGGGGGGAGGTAAGCCCCCCCCCCCCCTGTTCCTACGCCCCTGTTACATTCCTCTCTGAGCCAATAGATTGTGAAAAAGGCTCCTTGCAACAACTCCTAGATCATTCTGTCTAAATCTGGAAAAGTCTAAATATAGCACACTACTGTCCCTTACTGAATCTACAGGTACAATGTATAACGGTTGAAATATTGTCCCACAACCTAAAACACTGACTGTCATTAGATCATGTCTTTACACATAAACATTCTACTGTGCCTTCGTCCCAGTACATTATTTCGATTCTTTTATGTATTGCGCTTTGACGCTGTAACTTTAAACTGACTTAACGTCAAGACTGAGGGATCTTTGTGTCACTTTTCAGAATATATTGATTTTCTGTGCACATGCAGCCAAAGTATACAATCCTTCAACTACCAATAAGACCAGTTACTTTTCTTCGAAGGGTCAAGAGTGTGTTCTATGTATTTACATTTACAGATTTCACC